TAAGCGATATGCATCCATGGCCGGGGATTTGACCATGGTAGCGCCACGGCGCATGCTAGCACAACGGATGGCCAGCTTGCGTGACAATGTATATTCGTACAGATGGGATGTGGCGGCGTTGAATAGCTCGACAACGATTGGGGTGCAACATTTTGCAGAGGTACGTAGTAACCCACCTAGTTTTGGATACTATCTGCCCAAGTTTCTAGCCTGCAAGGTGAACTAACGCTTGAATCCGGCTATACAGATCCCTTTCGTCTTTGCAAATCCAGTGCAGACTATTACACCGCTAGGATCTGACCCTGCGCGCTTGGAACTGGGACAGATGGTAGCGCGGATTTGGACATCATTCGTGGCGGACCTGGATCCCAATCGACATGGTTGTTAGTAGAAAACGCGTGCGGCTTGTTTCTATTGCCAGGAAGCTGACTGCGTTCTAGTGTCTGATGTTGCCAAATGGCCCAAGTATTCGGCCCGCGCGACGAACTTTGTTTTCCGCTTACCCCGAAATGAGAGTTATATCGAGGCTGACACGTACCGTGTCGATGGGATTGATTATATCAATAGCATCGGGCGGTGAGGTGGACATGAAGGCAAGCTAGGCTAGAGGATCTACAGTGTGTGAATGAACACGGGAAACAGATGGCAGACATGTGCTAGTCCAGTTGACTTTCTTCGTCGGGTAACGAGTCAGATCAATGGGCAGCAAAGAGACCAAGCTTTGATTTTGCTATCCAAATAGCCTGTCGACGGTATGAGACGAACAGGAATGATTCAAGTGGTTCTTTTTTTTCTCCTTTGGTATTTGCACATCTTATATCTGGCCGGAAAGTCGGTAATGCCGATTGATTTAAACGCTCTTGGTGCCGACCTTGAGGAGCTCGACCTCGCTGTGAACAGTTAGTTTAGTTGTTCTATATGCCTTCGTAGCATGGAGTGAAAAAAGGAGATGGATTACTCACAAGACAAGCTTAGAGTTGGCGGGGATCAGGCCGGGGAAGCCACTAGAATGGGTTGATATCAGGACAAATCTCACAAGAAGGACCAAAGGTGCAAGTTGGAGTTATGAGGAATTGCAAGTATTGCGAAAACCGCAGATTGTTGATTCAGAATTGGACTTGGTTGGTTGGTACATACCGGTCGCCATAGCCGTAGTCACTGTCGAGAATCGAATATTAGTAGTGTTCAGTAGATCAGCGCAAAAGCGCAAAGGAAAGTTCAAAACGGCAACTCACGAGCTGATGGTCAGGATGGCCTTCTCGCCGAGGGACATCTGGGGAACACCCTCGTCCCAGCCTATTCATCAAGTTAGCAAGCTGAAGGAAGCTGTTTGTCTCACAACACTCAGTTCGGATATATTGAAACGCACCGCGGATGAGACGACCGACACCGATGGGGGTGGCAAGGGGACCACGGCCGGGCTTGTGGGAGGTGTCGAATCTGTTTAAGGATATATTAGCACGTGGGTCACCTCGACGTGGCATATGGATTTGGCTTACTGGCTGCCCATGAAGTGGTTGTCGGCCTTCTCGGCGTCATACAAGCAGCCGGTGTAGTGGATGGCAACGTGCTCACCCTTCTTAGGGTAGTCAACGCCGTTGCCGTCGACCAGAGTCTTCTTTTCAACGCCCATTGTGAATGTAATAGAGAGATGTAGGGTGAATATGAGAGATGTGAAGAGAAGAAGTAAAAAGGAAGACGGGGGAAGCTCGGGAGGGGCAGATTATCCACTTTTTTCCTGGGCGGGACACGACGTAATGAACTTCCCAAGTGTCTTTGGATGACACTGTTGCTTTATTGGTTGATTATTTTATTAACATACTTATTATAGACCGTATACCCATCTATCTACTCAATGGGCAACTTCTAGTGAGTTTTAGGAGTAGAATACTCCGAGAACTCCGTTGAAACTCGGATGTATTCCTGCTACGGTTGCTTGGCTTGCTTGGAAACAGCTGGAAACACCTGGGAATAGCTGAAAATAACTCGAAGGTAAAAACGGGGCGTAGACCACAACATATAGGGATATGATCTGCATAAGACGGGGAAATTCGTGGGTTTTGTGAGTGCCACATGGGTGGAATGGTTGGAACCTCTTACAATGTTATGATACACAACAAGATCAGATCAGTCCTTTTGCTCGGACTACAGAAAGGATCATCATCTCATTTGTTCCCTCAATGCCCCGCGGAGGGGTAATGGCGGGGGACACCCCCCCCCCCCCCGCGATGATAACTCCGGAGCTGTTCTCTGACATTGACCTAGGTAGGTATGATTGTATGATTCTTGAAATCATGACCAAAATGCCATCTTCCTCACGTCCTCCACTGAAATCTCCACAATTTGCGTTTTAGGGAACCGAGCATCGGGCACAGGAGATGACACCGAAGCTTCCAATTGTAGATAATGCAGCGTTGAAATACCAGCGCGATCCAAAAAATTAAGCACGGGGCGGAAGTTCAAAGCGACCTGGTCGACGCCGTGGCTATCATCAGATAAACAGAAGCGACCCTTACGTGCCACGAATGCCTAAAATCATCAAATTAGTCGTAAGATAGACCAAAAAACTGCGTTCTTACCTTGCAAATCTCCGCTTTAGGATATGGCTCAGTCATTCCCTTGCGCAATGCAGCCGAATTAAGCTCCAGCATACCGCCGTACGAGGCAATAAAGTCCAAGTTCCGTAAAATCTTACTCCAGACACCAGGCCAGGTAGTAAAGCTACGCTCCATATCATCGCTCTTCAGACGAATCAAATCAAAATGGCCCACAACCAGTGGTTTAAGCTGCTTCAACATATCCAGCTGTGCATCGAAGTAGTCCTCGAATAGTCGCTCATCTGTTCCGCCGGCTTTCTCTCGAGCCTGCATGTACATAGGCCGGTCATAGTCGATAGGCACGGTGTGCATGTGGTGAACCGAGCCAATGAAGAATTCAAAGGGAAACCGTGAAAGTGAGCGTTCGATCAAATCTTTAGAGGCGGGTCGGATCCAGTCAATCTCGAAGCCGATGATGATCTTGATCTGGGAGGCGTATTTCTCGCGGAGAGAGACTGCTTCTTTCCAGTAAGCGGCTTCGTTTGCTGCATGGCTTTCTTCTGTAACGCCAGATTCGAACTGGATGATTGGTTAATTCGGGATTCTGTAGTGATGTGTGTTCCTTACGCACTTCCTCGGGGTAGAAATCTTCTTTATGGCGGGGCATATGTTCGGTCAGACAGAAGACTTGCATCTTCTTGCTGATGGCAGTTTGAATCACATCTTCCAAGGAGTTTTGGGCATGGCCAGGGCAGAATTGGCCCGAATGGCTGTGATGCGAGAATGGCATGTTGTATGGATATGTCACTGCGACTCGTTGTTAGCACGATATCCGAAGGGAAGGACGAGCTGTTAGAGGGGCAGGAATAGGCTTAGCCGTTTTGAACAGTGAACAGATTCCATACACACATTTGGTTTCTAAGCTGGTCGACTGAAGAATATGGAATATGCCGGTTACGTCGGGGAGTCAGGTCCAATGTTGATAGACGATAAGGATTGTTGTGCCGTTTTATAACTAGCGCAGGGTAACAAGTTAACACCTCTATAAATGGCTGCATATATCCACAAAATATACGATTTCTCGATCGGACCTTAATCTTTCATTTCGCTAATATTTTTTTTTAAATATACCCTAATGAGACGTTACATTCAGTTTTCCATCCCCGCCATATACCCAGTACCTAGCTGACCACAAGCGGGCGAAGCATGTACATTCATATCAGACACCAATGATGAGGTTCCTGAGTGAAGCGCACCGCCATTCGAGTTGCGGATGTACCTCGACTGGTACGACTCAATTTCGAGCATTGAGCCAGATCAATTGAAACAGATGGCAATTTCTGTCAAAGCCTTAAATCTCTCTAAACCCACTCTCTCTAGAAGAGGATGAGTCCCCCAGTAGTTCCCCAATAGTTGCACACTGGAACAATCACATCATGCGTACGTACCAGGCAAGTGACTGCTCGCCATCCGGTGCTGGGCCAGCCGCAGCCTTAGAGACCGAGTGAACCAACCACAACAGTTGCAATGAGATTCAACCAACAAAGCAGAGCCCAATAATCCCAACAATTCACCCAGCAGCCAAAACAGTAGCAACAACATACTCCCCATCATGCGAGATCGACAACTTCGCAACCCTCCCCTCACCCGCATCCCCATCCACCGCATTCCCAAGATAAACAATCTCAGGCCTCCGACTCACACCCTCCCCAAACCTCCCCCCATCCTCCTGAACCCGGACCATGACATCCTTCCAGCCAATCGAAGCCGCACCTGACGGCGCCGCTTTCCGCGCCGCTTCCTTCGCCGCGAAGCGTCCCGCCAGCCAGCGTGTTATGTCCGCCGGCACGGGTGGAGGCTGTTGGTGGTATGCGGCGCGCGCTTTGAGGACTTCGTTGAAGCGCGTATGAAAGTCGTGTTGTTCTTGGTCGCAGAGGATGCGGCGCGTGAATCGTGGGAGATAGTTGGGTCGGGTCAGGAGGCGGGTTATTCGTGGGATGTGGACGATGTCTGTGCCAATGTTCAGGGGAAATGGGAAGGGGAGGGGTTTCATTTTGGGGTTTCAGGTTGTTGGTGGATGTTTGGGGAATTGTTGTAAGGGTGAAGTGGTAGGTAGGAGGGTTGCGGCGGAGGTGTTGGAGACCTCGGGATAGCCGTTGAGCGTTTCTTAAGGTCGAGTCCAGTAGCACTTGAATGGCTTAACTCATTAGCACGCCATTGATCGCGTATGGACGCCGCGTATGACCATTAGCGTGGTTTTAGAGCACGCTTGTTCTATGCTATTTACATCTACATCTTCTCGTTTTGCTCTACGGTCCCTCATTGCTAAACCCACTGGCCGGACAAGCAAGCTGATCGGAGTGTAGAGCAATATTTATGCCAGGGTGAAAGTCCACAGAGGGCTCTTGTCACACAGATTCCGAGCGGTGCGAGATTTCGTCGAGGCAATCGTACCACTCGCCTTGCTTCTTCCGCGATTGATCTTTGCTCAATGGCGGGGAAGAACAGACCTGAAAAACCAGTGTCAAGAGAATAATTTTCTATGCAGCGTACACGCCTCCTATGTACAGATCAATCAACCTCATCCGCCGACATCCCAAAATCGGTCCGTGTAGCTTCTCGAAAAAAACCGTGGTCACAAAAAACGCTGCGGGAGGGCGGATACACGTCGTTGGGCGCTAGAAATGGCACGAAAGCGGGGGCAGTTTGTTTGAATTCAGAATCCTAGCTGCTCATGTTCCACCGCTCCATCAATATAAACCGTATCGAGGGGTGGTTTAGTGGCCAGCGGCGGGCTTCTTCTCGCCGCCATCAACCTCCTTCATGAAGTTCCTGTGAGATATGCAGTCAGTAAGGCGGTCGGGGGCTGATATCGAGATCCGATTCATGGTCCGCGGTTCTCGGTTATTCGCGATAGTGTGGGACATACTGGACGAAGTTCTCCTCATCCTTGGAGGAGGCGTTGATGGGAGGACCCTGAGCGGTCTTGGGCTTCTCACCGCCGGACATGGCGAGCCAGGTACCGGCGAACATGCTGCCGAGAGTGGCCATGGCGAGCTAATGAGGGGGTGGAGGGAACACGGTCAACTTTCATGTTTCACAAGTACCCGGACGAAGCGCGAGGAGAAAGGGATAGCCAGCGCGCCGCGGCGTTTTCGGGGTGGTGTAAACTTACGACGTGGGAGCCGACCTTCTTGCCGGCGATCTGGTAGTAGACAACCATTTTGTAGGGTTGGAATTGAGGTACAGCGAGAGGTTCAATTGGCAGCGATGTGGACGGAATCCTCAGGCTTGGACCAAACGACGAGGTCGGCACGGATACCGCCTTTCCTGATTTGGTTAGACAGATCACATGATTCGGAACGGTGGATGATTAGGTAAGTCACTCGGCCTGCCCAGACACCCGGCTGCATCCGATATCATGTGACCTCCGCGGAGTGAAACGTCACGGGTGCATTGGCATATGAAGATCAACACAACACGAGAACACCAAAAACTTTGGTAGGAAACCGACGACGGAGAAAGCTCAGACAAGCTAAAGCTCAGATCGAAAGCTTTGACAATGAACAATAAATCTTGAGTTCGGCCCCGAGGCATCATCCCGTATATTACCTCTACCCCAGATGCCGAGCCGGAGGATACCAACGGTACCTCGGAGGGAACTATCCCACAGCTAATGTTGTATATCCCCGCTATGGCTGTGTCTTCGGCTGTAGTGCGCGGTTAATATGAGAATCTTTTAATAATAACTCGTTTCCTCCCTTGCATAGCTTTCCCTCATTCTTCTCCTTTACTTTCTTTATTATATACCCCTTTCGACTTGATTTCTCGTCATTTGGCACGTAAATAAGCGTTGCTTTGTTCAAAACGACTACATAAGTCATCACTGACCATACCATACTACATTTGCAATGGTCTGGGGCGGTCGTCAACAGGATGAACCCCAGTCTCCCCCACAGGAGTTGTTGGATAAGCCTGTAGTCCGAGAGAAGCTCCCCGCAAAATTGCAACAGTTGGTTGATCGCGAAGAGGAATTCTACGATGACCTCTATTCCCAATAGTATGTGAAATTCTAATTTTTCTGTATTATTTTTTTGGTCCCAAGAAAATTGCTGCTGCTGTCGCGTGCTCCGAGAGAGCGCCTGAAAAAGAAGGCTGTGGAGCGGTACTTCCCGGCTTGAGTCGATGACATACTGCTCCGCAAACCCACCTTAAGCAAATCAACGCGACGCCAAAACCAAGCAAAGACAAAACAGAAGCTAACGATGGGCACCTCGATTGACGGTAGCTCGGTCAACTCCACAGACACAGGGTTCCGCTATGCCGCGTACGCCAACCGCATCCGCACGATCCTCCTGTCCGCCCATCGTTATGTCGCCTACACTTCAGACATCGGCGAGTCCTTCCGTCCGATCGCACATCCATGGCTGGTGCGCTCTGCCTACACTATCTCCTGGACATACCTGCTCGGCGATGTTGGTCACGAAGGCTACAAGGCCTATCTCCGGAACTGGAAGGCACTGGCCCCCACCGGCGAGGCATACAGGGATGCTAGCCAGCCTTCGCAGAACCAGATTATCAAGGGTATGGCGACAGGAAACATGACGATTGGCAACAAAGCCGAGTCCAAAAACGAGCTTTCAAACTGGCAGACCCCCGAGATCCCGCTTGCGGAGGACTACCGCATGGTCATGGCCAAGCGCGCGGTGTTCCAGAGCATCGCGAGTATGGGATTGCCCGCATTCACAATCCACAGTGTGGTTCGCTACTCTGGGCAGATGGTGAAGGGGGTCAAGATTGCATTTATTCGTACCTGGACGCCGATCGGGGTATGTATTTCGTTCCGGGCGAAAACACAAATTGGTGAATATGATGCTAACGACTGTTTCTTATAGCTTGGTCTCGCTGTTGTCCCCTTCCTTCCCTATATCTTCGATCACCCCGTCGACGAGGCCGTTGAATGGGCCTTCCGCACTGGTCTTCGTGCTTACGGCGGCGAAGCAGCCGTCCGCCCACTACCAGGCAAGAGCCTCCCTCCCCGGGAAGATGAGGAAGTCCGTGCTGCTGCGGCGGCAAATCTCTCCTGGGACGAGTACAAGGCTGAGCGGGAACTAGCGCGTGAGGTCCGTCGGCAGTCAAGTGAGCAAGCTGGCAGTGGCGGAATTGCATCGCTGACGAGCTGGTTTGGAAAGTCTGAATCGGAGTCGGATAAGAAGAAGAAGGAATGAGGTGAATACACCAACTTCTGTTCTCGGTTTGACTGAAGTGCTTCCTTTGGCTCCTTCTGTCTCTTGCCTATGGGCGCATCTCCCCTACCACTCACTTATTGTGCACATCATTTCCCACTCTCTGATCTCATATTCCTACTGATATCCACTGGGTTTGCTTATAAACTTACACCCAACATTTCTGAACAAAATCTATATTATTATCCTTCATCCTTTCTGATATGGCCATAACCCCGAGGGTAATGAGGAGCCTTTTCCAATTTCAATCGTTATAGATGTGGCTAGTGAAAACTGTCTTGATGTCATATTTTATCTGCGGCTCAAGAAAACCATGAACATAGCCGGCGACTCACAAAGAGCAGTCGTTGCAGCAGGTGGTGATATCTTCGTAGACTTCACCCATAGAACCATATATGCCCTCCCAGCAGCCAGAAATAAAAGGCACAGGCACCAGCCCAGCAACAGAGTGAACCTGTCTCTTGAAAAATATATCTTCAACTACACTCAATAGCCTGCCCATCTCCATCGTCTCTGCCAGTTCGTTGGATGTAACTAGTAGTCTCAACTCAAAGAGCAGACCCCAAAGCGAAGATATATGTTTGTATGCTGGTCTCATTACCCGGTTGATAGCTACGCAATTTGTAGCACAGCAGGGCATCAATACTTGAAAGTTGAAATTAGAATCTCGAAGATCGGACATCATCAATTGAAAGGTTTGCCTTTTTTGAACGAGCCAAGTCTCCAAGAATTAAGGTCTAGATACCCTTGGTCCTAGACAGAGTCGGGTTAGTCTGCCTCGAGAACCCATGGTTTCGAATAGAGGAACTTGGGGTAGACCCACCTTCTTAATTTGGAAGGCACAACTTTCTTTTTGTTCTTTAATTTTACATCACACTTGTTGTTATCCTCGTAAAGCAGAGTAAGTCACTGGAGTTTGTATTCTCTTTTCCAGTAGCATATACTATTAACACAAGCGAACAAGTGAATCCAAACCGTCACGCGTCATTTGGCACCTCAAAGCCCTCCACCCGAACCGACTTGGTCTGATACTGCACAATCAAGCGAGCCAGCTTCAAGCGATCATCTCTGCCAAGCATCTGAACCCCCTGACAGGGATTCTTCACAATCAACCCATCGTAGTCATGCTGAAATTCCACCTCTGCCTCCCATTCATACGTCGGGCTCCGCTCTCTGAAGTAATAAGGCCGGCCATGCCTCTTAACGACCTCGTACAGTTTGCGAAATTCTCGGGATTTTCCGGTCTTAATTTCCCCATTTGACAGTACCACCACACTTGCATGCCACGGCATATCACCAAACAGGTCACCTTGCCGCAGCAGGGGAATAGAAATCTTGTTTCGCCCTAATGAAGGGTGAATCGAGAGACGGATGTATTTTCCGAGTGTGGCGTTAATGACAGCTTCATATGCCTGAGGAAACAGTGAGCCAGGGATTCAGATTCCTAGAGCAACCAAAACACCAAGTATATTAGGCCATTAAAACTTACGATGAGCCGGTTGATCATGGTTTTCGCCATCTTGGACACTTCAGCCGTGTAGAGCGCCGGGTCGGCCGCGACAAGAGGGTCAAACCCTTTGGCCCATTTCAGATCCTCTGATATGCGACTAAAATAGCTCTCGTATGTTGTCTTGGTGTCCGGATTTGTCTTCAACTCATGGTCAACGTCAAATCTCGGATCGAAGTATGTGGGTGACATCAGTTTCTCCCTGCAGGTGGGGACGAGACGCAGGTAATCTGCCTTGGGGATTTTCTCGCCATCTCCTAGCCCCAGCAAGTTCATCAGCCGGATGAACTGGATAGAAGAAAAATGTTTCTCTTGGGCGATTTTGCGCAGCTCAATGCCATAGTCGTAATATTCGTCATCGGGAACGCCGACCAAGTCTACACCGTCAGTCTATTTATTTCATTCTCGGTATTTATCTCACTGCTGCATTGGGAGAAGAAATGACATACCATTATACACCGGTCCATCACAAATGAGGATTAGTCGCGCGCCGTAAGGGTAGACCTTTGAGATCTCGCCGCACAGGTGATTTAACTTCGCTAGACTCATTTCTTCTCCTAGATCAGCCCCAGATCCTAGCACTTTGTCCTGGTTTGGGCTCTTCCATGGAAATGCAGGTAAGACCATGGTTATAGGCTGGTTTGCAGTGATATTGATCTTTAGCTTCTCAGACACGGACCCAAAAGCCATCCCAACGTCTTTCGGATGGCCATCTTTGCTCAAATGCAAGCAAAACCGCTTCAGCACCTCGACAATTTTTTGAGGCACTTCATCTGGAGCATATTCAAATTTCATTGTTAACGGAATGCAGAGGAATTCGTGGATATGTGTAGGGAAATGGGGCCGTGAATGTTCGGATGTTATTGTTATCCCTCCGCGTCAAGATCAACATCACATTGCAGTGACATATAGTTTACAGTATTTTATTAAGTTAGTTGCACACTCTATAGGTATCCTTACCTGCAGCAGTACCTGTACTCCGTAAAAAACCAGAGCATATCTGCAAGATTTCTGCAGGGAACGGGTACATCGACTCCACAATGTGTACGTAGCACCTGAAGAGCCACATTTTAGAATCCAACTCTCATATACTGCCCACCTCCCACTATATTTTCCCAATCTTGGGAGATATTTTCTTTTGCTCTTTGGAGCCTTCCCAAGCAACATGGGTCAGCCAAAAATATCACAGAGCAATGCGGCTGGAGCATGCTCGATGGCCGCCAGCTCGTCCTACACAACATCGGCCACTACCTATACTACTCTCACCGAAGAATCCCCGCTATTTGTTCGCCCAGATCCCCGCCAACAAGACGAAGATCGCAAAGCCGAGAATAATGAAATCCCCGATGGAGGTCTCGTGGCCTGGACTCAGGTTCTGACTGGACACCTGGTTGTGTTCAATGTATGGGGCTATATTACATCGTAAGGGAGCCCTGTCACATCCGATGTCAGTTCCACCATTAATTCGTTATAGGTACGGCTTTTTCCAGGAATACTACGTTAAAACTCTCGATGTCAGCCCAGCGAATGCATCTTGGATCGGAGCGGTGCAGATGTTCCTAGTCCATTTCCTGGCCACTTTCTCAGGGCGAGCAATGGACACGGGCTATCTGAGACAATGTATCGCCCTTGGATGTCTCTTTCAAGTTGCCGGAGCATTGGCGACCTCATTTGGCACAAAGTTATGGCATTTTTGGCTAGCGCAAGGTATTGTCAGTGGAATTGGCCACGGACTCGTCTTCAGTCCGATAATCTCGCTGTATGCGACATACTTCAACTCCAAGCGAGTTATGGCCGTCTCCCTGGCTTCTTGCGGGGCAGCAACTGGAGGGATGGTTTTCCCAGTGGTCGCTTATAAATGTTTCAACAACATTGGCTTCGCATGGACTGTCCGGATCATGGCGGCCATTATCTTGTTCAACAGCGTTATAATTGTCAAGTTTACCAGATCTCGGATTATACCTCGAAGTCCACCTCCCTGGGTGGATTTCAGTGCGTTCCGTGAACGCCCTTACCTCCTTTTTTCGATCGGCTCATTCCTGATCTTCGAGGGTATTTACTTTGCATACATATATGTAAGTTTTGTTTTGTTTCACATTTGTTGGCGGCATAACAACACTAACAACATCTACAGCTTAGACAATATGCCCAGGCCAACACGGGTTTCACTGCGTCCGACTCACTTCTCCTTCTAATCCTGATGAACGGCGTCGGTGTTCCATCTCGCATAGCATCTGCATTTGTGGCAGACCGGTGGCTGGGTGCGGTAAGGACTTGCATTGCAGTCTCCATCCCTTGCGGCATCGCAATTATAGGGTGGATTGGTGTACACACCCATGTTGGCATGTTCATTTGGGCCACGGTCTATGGGCTACTGGTTAATTGTGCGCAGAGTCAATTGCCCGCTGCCAATGCATACTTTGGCTCGAAAGACCCGGAAAAGTCTGGCACACGTGTTGGGATGATCACCACGATCAATAGCATTCCACTACTGACTGGACCGTACATAGCAGGACAGCTGATCGCGTTACGGGGAGGCGATTACCTGTATGCGCAATTATTCGGTGGGATTTGCATTTTGACTGGAGCGTTGTTTGTGGTCGGGTCTCACTTTTCGGGGGCTTGAAATTACTGCACATGCATGATTATGTATATTTCAATAGAGAGTTATGCCGTGTATCTACTTGTCTTACCCCGAGGATGACGAATATCAAGCACTGTATTAGGTACTATCCTTAACCCACATAACACAGTACTTGTTGTTTAGCGTGTTACCCTATATTTGCCATCCTCACATGAACATGAACATGAATATGAATGTAGATACATTCCCCCTTGACTAATTGCATCAACTGACCTTGGAATATCTGAATCAACAAAAAGTGTGTGGCCCGCTTTGTTTCGGAATGACCTCCCTGCTACCACGTTTTCTCCAACTCTCCTCACGGGCCTTCTCCTCCACCAACGGAGCATTACAGAAAATGGCCCTCAGACCTGTCCATTACCACCTTCCATTGTTCCCAGGGTTCCAGCTGCTAGACGTGGCGGCCCCACTGGACATTCTCAACATCCGTACGCAGTACCCTGACACATCAGCCATCACCCTGACTGTATCAGCCGCAACACTCGACCCAGTCTCAGTGAAACCTATCCCACCCCCCAAGGCAAAATGGCGATTTGATCTGCCCGCCTCAAACATCAATACAGCTTGCAACCAGCAAATGTTGCCACAATGTACATTTGCTGACGTGATCTCTGCCCTGAAAGCGGGGAAAGTTGCCGACGATAGCAGTGGTGAATTCAACCCTATCGATGTGTTGATCATCCCAGGTGGCCCGGGGACACGTCTGAACCGTATTTACGACACTGACACTACATTCAGTGAAGTCAAAGTCTCCAACACGCAGGAGGTTCAGGACTTTCTGACTGCTGTTGCGCCATATGTCCGCCACAGCATCATTACTATTTGCACAGGCAGCCATGTCCTCTCGCAGACTGGGCTTCTAGATGGACGCCAGGTAACAACAAACTCAGCCCGCTACGACGATGTCACTCAACAAACGAGCGACGTGCAGTGGCAGCGCAACAGACGGTGGCTGCGTGATAGTGTTCCCAAGGATGTGGTATCCGACGGCCTGTCGTTGTTACCTGGGATTGAGATCTGGTCATCTGCTGGAATTACTGCAGGGATTGATGTGATGCTGGAGTTTATCTCGGCGCATTATGGTGGTATCGAAGTCGGGATAGAAACTGCCAAGCGGATGGAGTATCGCTGGGAGCGAGAGAAGGAAGCTTCTTACTTCTTATAAATGGGGTTGCCCAAAAGAGGTTACCAAAAGTTACAGATGAGCTCAATTTTCTTGATCAAGGCCTCAGACGTAATACTCGATGCGAATGATGAAGGTTTGGGGGATTGAATACTCCCCGGTCTTGGCGTGAATATAGTCAGGCCATAAAGCTAGAGCAATTTACAACACACGACATGTCATCCCTAACAGCTGCAGTGCTTTGTGTCACTGGTACACGCTATAGCTTGCACAGAGAGCAGTGGGTACTTGGTCGGTCAGTCTAGCTTCGAGCGCCCCTCTAGGAATCCTGGACCTTTTTGACTTATCGTGATGTACTAGCCTTCGGCTGTCAAAATAATGAAATATCACACCGACATGCTACCTTTATTCCCGGAATCTTTTGCCACAGACATTAATTGGGTCCCCTCTATCCCGGCCTCTCGTGTAAGATATTCCTAAATCTAGCTTAATTGGCAAACGGTTTATGCCAGGTCATGCATGAACAGTCAGCTCAACAGCCATCGAATTCTTGGGTTGGGAGGGCATCTTCGACTGGTCAAATAGTAACAAGTTTGCCTGTAATACTGTGTATACATGCATAGTATCCCATATTGGTGTTCTTCGGGGCTTTTCGATCAAATGCCTAATCCGGACAAGTGAAAACAGTCATACTCCAAGTCATGCACTAGTTTCAGCACATATGTAGTCAGACGATAAACAATACCATTTTATCTTTTTTTTGTGCAATAGCATAGTTTCCATTCCAGAATTCACCGAAGAGATATTATCTAAAGTACAAAAAGTATGGGGAAGAAGGGGGGAGGAAGGGGGCGGCACTTGGAAGTTTGGACGGCGAATACACACGAGGACCATGCACTGCAAAGTGGCGATAGAAAGCCACTAAATTCTAATACAAGATACGAGAGTACCACTCCTATAAATCGCGAGTACATTCGAATACTGAATCCACCCCTTCCCAATCCCTAGCTGCAACCCTGACCTCCTCGCTCCCACTTATCATGAGCTATATTAAAATGCTAGTGACGACGGTGGTCAAAGTCTCAGCCCACCTAAACATAATCCCTTCGGACTGTATCACCCCCACCCAAAAGACACGAGTCTCGTTCCTCCCCAACCCACACCCAGTCCCCCCCAAACATGAAGCCACCATCGACACTCTTCTCGACGCACCGGAAATATGTCCAACATTAACCCGCCTGAAGTCAGAGGAAATAATGAACATCGTGGAGCGCTACGGCTCCCACGAGTGCACAACCACAGCCGGAGAATGGCTGGGCCGGTCATCGTTCACGCCGCGTGTGCAGACACATATTGCAGCCAATAGGGCAATTCCTATGGTTCTACCTGCTTTTCCGATGAAGAGTAATAACCGTATGGACAAGGTGCTAGGTGTGCTTCCGGATTTGGGGGATGAGCTTGGGTTGGCGCGGTTGGTGAATCTTTGTCGGGATATCAAGGATGTTTACCCGCCTGGTGCGGTTGTGGTTGTTGTTACGGATGGGATTTGTTATAATGGTAAGATTGAACTATCCTATTAATTTGGATGTCAGATACAAGATCGCATGCTAATTTGATTCCTGGTTTTAGATCTTACGGGGATTTCTGATGAGGAGGTCTGGGAATATGGGAATCGACTGCGAAAGGTCGCTTTTGAGAATGGATATGCTTGTATTCAATTCCATCGTATTATGAATATGCTAGGTCTTTATACTGGCGCACAAATTTCTAAGTCCGATTACGTGAAGCTCTGTGGTTTATCGAGGGCTGAACTTCATCGACGGTGTGGACGGCCGGGGTTTGATGTCGATCAGTTTTTGAAAAGTGATGAGGACTATCTGAGGACTTATAATGGTAAGTGAATGGCTTTCAAGTCGAGTTAATGTCACATGGCTAATTCAATGCAGGATACGACAAGTTCATGAAAGTTGATCTGAAATTCAGCCCGGTGACCAAAGATTGCGCTGGTCCCAAACAATATAAGAAGAGGATCAAGAGTATTGCAAAAGCCATGATTGTCCGTGGAGTGGTAAATTATTCAGAGCGCCATATAAAGTGGCAAGATGGCTAATCTCATAGGTTATAGGAGTATGCGGAGCTAGTACGCCAAATTTATCCCGACTCACTGCGTCTCTCCATCCATCCCTCATCGGGGCAGACGAAGCTGTCCTGTCCCCTTATCCCGCAGAAAGACTCGTTCTCTATGAGCCCTTGGCACTGTAGTGTTGCAGTGACAACTGCAGGGGAATTCATAACAGCTCACCAATCCGCACATCGACAGAAGTTTGACCTCATTAAGAAGGATGGTCAACCATATTTCTTCCGTGAGCACTCTCCGCTCTTCGATTGGGACGCCAGAGTTGATTTTGAGCATTATTATGGGCAAAACCTGATTATCAGGGCACAGAAACAGATTGATCAAGAACTATCTGACTCGGATTTGGACAAGTTGGCACTTTTAGCAATCCAACAGAAGAGTGTGACATTCTGCATCACGTAGGCGAGGCGATCAGGCAGGGTTGGCTGAAAGAGGATCAGCGGCTCTTTATTCCGATGCGACAGAGCTGGGGGGATGGAAATTATTTGATTGTGTACGCCGTAAGCAATAACTTGGTGTTTGATGCGATATACCGGCAAAATATTGATCAACGATTTTTCGGAATAACCACTTGTCTTGTCAACTATGTTTGGAAGCAGAGACTTGACTTATTGAAATCTCAAGAGAGAGAGAGACGATATGGAGAAACATGTGTCTTCAAAAAGATGAAAACTAGAGTGGTAGCTTGGGATCCGGATGAACACACTCTAGACATCGCGAAGAGGAGCGTGAATCATGCGAGCGGGTGAAGCTATAGCGAGGCTGGTGATGTTTCAAATAAGCAAGATTAGTTTAATTGCAGGAATTACGCACATGTTGGATTATACAAAAAAAAAAAGTGATGTTTACCTCGACAAAATAATCAGCTCACGATGTTAGGGCATTATAGAACATGTGATTTCATTCAGAGTCTCCAACACTTTACTTTGTATAGCAGCATATTCCCAAAACATACTGGACAATCTCCACACAATCCACACATATTCACTCGATAACAAAGTTCTTCAGTTTCGGACAAGATCACCAGGGCGTCATATAATATAGCCCCCACGCCAACCCGCTATACTCCAATCGGCCCCAATACCCTGACGATCAATCCAGAATTAGCATCAGTGGATATCAGGATTTCCCCTTTTTGGGAATATAGTGGTAATGACTTGACCTTAACTTGTGGGAATTTCCCCGCGTGGGTCAACTCAGCCCTCCTGGCCCCGAAGGAATGTATCATCTCTGTCAGATCATCTATTTGTTACTTGTTACTTGCTACTCACCACTTGACGCAAATCAATAGACCCCATATTCCCGAGTTGACAAGTGATCGTCCATTTCCCTCCTTTAGAGCGGTGCTTGAAGATCTATAAAGATACTCATGTTTTTCTTCCCTTTTCTTCAATCTCCAACTATCCAAACAATCAATTGACAATCCAAAATCATGTTGCCTTCTCTGATTTTGACGGCCTTCGCTCTCCTGCCAGAAGCGCAGGCAGCTGTCCCACAAAAACGCTGCGGCTCAGTATCCAATTACTACAATCAAAAGACGGAGGACTGGGACACCTACAATACCGGCGATTGGCTCAACAACTGGTGGAATAATCATGGTGAACTGATGGCTAATAGTAGCGGCGGATTTGCTAGCGCCTTTGGTCAGTGGGCAATGGGAAACCCAGACTGGACGTGTCATGATGGTGGCTCGGACTCGAACTGCGACCTGCAGCTGTGTGATAACCGAGTCCTCGATCACCGCGGTGACGACATCCGCCACGCATACTATGTCCTCGAATCCGTCAACCGCCTGCACACTTACTTCAAAGGTATTGGCGAGTCGTTCACGACCACTGCTTTAGGTGCGGCTTTGTCCAAGGATTCGTGGGCTACCACTTTCTACAGAGATGAAGATGTTAAGAGTGTTGTTGCACTCAGGGAGGCACTCAGTTTCCTGACTATGATTATTGGTATTGGTGCTTCGTTTGCTGGACTGGGCCCTGCTGTTGCTGGTGCCCTTGCTGGTGCTGGTAGTGCAATCGCCGGTGGTGCAAGTGGCGCTGGTGGAGCTGCTCTACCTGCTCAGTATGTGATACTTCCGTCTTGGAGGGTTTGTTATCCCTGTACTAACAGATGAATAGTGCGGATGATACTTTCGAGAAGTCTGCCGACATGGGTGGCATCTTGGGCAGTATCGTTGTGGACTCGATGAAGTCGTTCACGACCGCCAATAACCAGCTGATGAGTGGTCAAATGTATGGCGACGTAGATATCCGCAGCTACCTGTCTGGTGGAGCGTTTCTTGCCTACAACGGGGTCGACAAGAACGCCGTCACTGATGTAATGACCAACATGCTGATCGGCACTGCGATCAATCAGTTGTACCGCACCCAAAAGATCTTTATCATGGGCGGCGGTGCCTGTGGTGATAACCAGGGGATTGGTTCTGGTCCCGAGGCTTCTGTGATTTGCCGTGACGGCAAGGCCTGGTATTTATACTACTGGCAGGAGAACGATGTGTTCTCCCTTACCGCCCACCGTTGGGGATGGGTTGCCACGCCTCCTGGCCTTGAGAAGCTAGGTCAAGGTGATTACGGAGGCATTGGTATTGCCGTAAGTCTTAATATGTAAAATTACCCGTGGAGTTGCATTATGCTAACTTATTTCCTAGGATGTCATCAACTCCTCTCTTGATGCTTGGCAGGTTGCTGGCTACAACTACAACTCCGACACAGCTTCCGGTCGTGCCTCAGATGCCATCAAAAACTCTTGGGCAAGTCCCGGTTCCCAGGGTGCATCCTGGGAGGGTATCTTCACAATTCCGGTGTGTGATGTCAGCAGTGCTATTGACTCGGATTACCCTATGAAGGAGTATATCTTGCAGCCATACGGCCATGACAGTCGCCCTGTCTGGTGCGGACCGATCTGCGGCGGCGATGTTCAGACGACGCAGGACTTCATCAAAGCGGCTAATCTGGAAGGGTTCGATAGCCCCAAGCACCTCTGTGAAGATAAACCGGATTATTAGCCTACATGTTCTTTTGTCAGGCGTGTGGACCCAGATGGATGGACTGCGAACTTTGTGGCTGCGTCGCCATGTTAACATTTTGCGCTTTGTATAGGATTGTTCTGGTTCTTTCATGTCCATTTATTTCAATTGATTTGCATATTCCCACTCGCTTTTATAGTGCTTTTATCTTGGCTTCAATAAGATAGGATTAGTATCATAAGTAACAGCAATGCCAGAAACAGACGGGGTGGTTTGTAGAGCCCAGTCTACCTAGGTAGTCCCAAAGATTATATAAAGCAATACAAGACAGGACAAGGCAGGACAATTCCAAGCTGAAGGTCAAGGTGAGGCTCTACGGGTTTACCCCCAGGTGCCTTCCCTTTTAGTCAAAACTCGTCACCCACCCCAGTTTCCCCCAGTTCCTTCCCTTTTGGGGTCAAAACTCGTCACCTACCCCAGTTTCCCCAGGTGCCTTCCCTTTTAGTCAAAAATCGTCACCTACCCCAGTTCCCCCGGTCCTTAAGCCACTGGGAAAATATAAATACCCCCCATCCCCCCCCATTTCTCTCTCTTCTTCTTTCTTCCTCTTGCACACTCCATCACTTCTGCTTTTCAGCTTCCACCATGGTGCCCATTCTACCATGAACCATTTACCACAACACCACTCTTGGTCTTTTCATCTTGACTGTCAACTTGATCTTCTTCTTGACCTTGATCTTTTATCTTAACCTTTTTCTGTCTCGGGCTTCTGTCTCGACAACCTTCCACCATGACCCCCATCCACCATGGACCTTCCATCTTCGTCATGCCTCAGGACCTTCCACCATGAACCCCCATCCACTATGGACCTTGAACCTTGGCCCCATCCACCTTGGACTTTCTATCTCTGCCATGCATAAGGACATTCTACCATGGACCTTCCACTCTGGTCACCTTCCACTCTGGTCGCCCTCCACTATGGTCACCTTCCACCTCGGTCATCCATCATCTAACATGACTTTCTGCCATGGACCTTCCACTTTGGCCATTGTCCATTGTGACACATCCACCTTAGTCGTCCACTATGTCCTTGCATCATGGCCTTCAACCATAACCACTTTGAACTGTGAGCATTCCTTGTGACATCCATCTATTCATCTCAAAGGACGAACCTTGCTAACTTGTTTCTAGTAACCTTCATACCTTCCTATCCACATCCACTCAACTATATCCAGCCTTACCGTGGCGGGCTTCGGCTTCAGGACAATCGGAAGGCTTGGAACGAATCAACCACGTCCACCCACCCACACCCACATCCAACTCAACCACATCCAGCCTGGCCGTGGCGGGCTTCAGCTTCAGGACAATCGGAAGGCTTGGAACGACAGCAAAGGCGAAAGCGAAAACAAAAACAAAAGAAAAAGAAAAAAAGAAAAAAGGAGAAAGGAAGAGGATAAAAGAAAAAGAAAGACAAAAAAAAAAAAAAAAGAACCAAGCCTCGAACGATTTCAAGCATCCACATTCGACCATCAACTACTTCAATCAACCATCTTCCAATCAACCATCTTCCAATCAACCATCTTCCAATCAACCATCTTCCAATCAACCATCTTCCAATCAACCATCTTCCAATCAACCATCTTCCAATCAACCATCTTCCAATCAACCATCTTCCAATCAACCATCTTCCAATCAACCATCTTCCAATCAACCATCTTCCAATCAACCATCTTCCAATCAACCATCTTCCAATCAACCATCTTCCAATCAACCATCTTCCAATCAACCATCTTCCAATCAACCATCTTCCAATCAACCATCTTCCAATCAACCATCTTCCAATCAACCATCTTCCAATCAACCATCTTCCAATCAACCATCTTCCAATCAACCATCTTCCAATCAACCATCTTCCAATCAACCATCTTCCAATCAACCATCTTCCAATCAACCATCTTCCAATCAACCATCTTCCAATCAACCATCTTCCAATCAACCATCTTCCAATCAACCATCTTCCAATCAACCATCTTCCAATCAACCATCTTCCAATCAACCATCTTCCAATCAACCATCTTCCAATCAACCATCTTCCAATCAACTTTCAAACCACCATCTGTCAATCATATTGATAATCATTTATCTTGACAGCTATCTATCTTGACAGCCATCCATCTTGACAACCATCTATCTTGACAACTTTCAAACCACCATCTGTCAATCATATTGACAATCATTTATCTTGACAACCACCCACCTTGACAAGCATTCATCTTGACAACTATCCATCTTCACAAATTTCAAACCACCGTCTTTCAATCATCTTGACAATCATCCACAATGGCCATCTTCCACCCACACCACCGTGAACCTTCCATTATCAGCCTTCCACTTTGACCAACATGTGGCTTTTATCATCGGCATTCCACCATGAGCACCGTGACCACTATGACCATTATGAGCCACCCATCATCGGCCTTCCACTATGAGCACCGTGATCACCATAACCACCATAGCCACTATGATCACCATGAGCCATCCATCATCGGCTTTCGCCATGACCACCTTGACCACCATTGACTTGGTTGATAAAACTGTTCATCAGCTCCATGAACATCCACAATGACTTCCCTATCAAGTCCGCCCCTTCTCATGTTCAACTCGTGCGATCACACAACAAACAAAAACAACATTGCAAAGCCTCTACCAAGCTTTACGGTCAATCAAATATGGTCCTGCAACATTTCTCGGTCATACAGCTGACCTTCAGAAAGCTCACAGTCAGCCCAGCAATCAGGAGTGGCCTCGCAAAGTTTCTTCTTCGGCCAACTCTCCATCCATGCCTCAGCATCATCCAATAATTGATCAAGTCTACAAAGAATTTTGCGTCGGCACAGCTACAGCCAAAGGCAAGGAGAAGTAATTCTTCCTAGGCATGGTTCACAATCAACAAGCCACTGGTATTAAGCAGTGATTCCACAATCCCAAACATTTGGCCAACACAACTACTGTTGTATTCATTGTGGTGGTCTTCAGTGGAGGTCTTCGTTGGGGTTTCAGCATGTATTTCTCGCTATGGTTTTCAATGTTCTACCTTTTTATCATGTATTCATCCATAGTTTGCTTTTCTGAGCATCATGCGCAATACAAGACATATCCTACGCTTTACTTCTCTGTCTCTAGACCTCTCTGGTAAGGTATTCAATTTAGGAGTAGAAGAAACTGGTCTCAAGAAAAGCCATGCATTAAAAGAGAGTAAGGTTTCTCGCTACATCTTGACAGTAAGTAGTAAGAAGCCAAGCAATTATCAAACAGAAGTAAGGAGTGTCATCAATCATCATATCGTCCGAAACCCTCCAAGCAAATAAAGTTCACCGCACGCCGGCCCAGATACTCTGTGTAGAGTACCGGAGAATGAAAAGCAGAAAACATGCGCCATTATTGCAAAACGCAGCCCAAAATAAAAAGCAAGCAGAACAAAAAAAGATCTTGAAAAGGTGTAGCCAAAGGTACGGGCGGGATCATACGTCCTCAACTTCGACGACTCGTTCCACAATCCAGTCCGCAAAAGCCTGACCCTCGAGTTTCCATCGTCCATCAGCCCACACATCACTGAGCCAGTAAGCCCACGGCTTATTCGAAGATGTAAGCTGCAAATCCCAAATTGAAGCCGTCGCTCGGCGATTCGTAGAGTGGCTATCGGCCCCTGCCGAAAGATCATGATTGACGTTGCGGAATCCAGCAGTCGAAGTCGGGTTGCTGGTTCCGGAACTGCCTTGCCTGATCCGCCATTCACGCTCAGCTTTCTCTCCTGCGCGGCGGGCGACCGCTTCCTCGTCTTCTGCTTGATAGAGATTGCATTTGGTGCATTCTGTGCAGCGGGACCCAGGGTTGATGCGGAAATGCTCGCAGAAGTGTTTGTATCCTTCTGGTTCTTCGAATTCGTCGTCTTCGGACATGTTGCCTGCGACATGTTCATCAAAAAAGATATCGTCGGGTATATCGCCCGGGCCATCAAAGGCATCTAACCCGCGAGGGGCACGGGCAGGCGCGGTTGTTCGTATAGGTGGGCCTAGTGCCTTGCGGCATAGGTAGCACATGGAGTAGCCACAGACGCAAGTCAATTTGTTGCAGCCTGAGGATTTGACGAATGAGAGGCAGCAGCGGGGACAGGTGCGTTTCACGGCGGCGGTGCGGGCAGCCTCGACGGTAGCGCGCAAGTCCAGGAGTAACGGCTCATGACACACATGTGGATCTCGCCACGGTTTCTGGCACGTCATACAGCTAATGCGTGAGCAGGAGGGGTTGGCACAGGTGAATCGTTTAGGTCGGATCTTGAGACAAAGGTTGCGGATGGCATTCCCGAAGACCGCTGTTACGGTGGCTGGGTCCAAAAGGAGCAGAATAAAAACAGGGATTACGAGTAAGGGGACAAGATCAAGTAGGAGAAGGGTCATCAAAATCGTAGGAATAATGCCACCGTCACGACGGAGCCGCCAGCGGACACCATGGGATGAAGGGTGGTACACTGGGTCGATTTCAGCATATGAGCAGAATGGACATCTAACGAGCTTCAGCTGAGACTTCATAAGCGCCTCGGAGGAGAGCCGATCCTCGAATTTGCGGTATGTTTCGAAGCCAGCCGTGTCGAGAAGAATTGCCTGCTTGACAATCTCTGGATGAAGGCATCCCTCGCACGACCCGATGGACAACGGGGCAAGACACTTCAAAGTATAATGCTCCAAGTCGACAGACTTTCCCCAGCCCTGCCCAAACAGCGCTTCGTAGACGGTTCTTTGAATGCAGTGGTAGCAAATGATATGAGTGTTGGTTGAACATGTCGCGATCTGCTCAAATGTCACGTCGGCGAAACAACACTCGCATTCGTAAAGGGCATTGAGTTCTTGGGCTTCCTTCGTATTCAACTCTGAAGCAAATCGGAAATCCTTATCACGCTGCTCTTCACGCTTCTGCCGCAACAGCGGGGCCAACAACATCTCGTGGAGCTCTGCATCCAGCTCGTTGCACCCAGTTTCCTTCAGAACGGGAACAAGTTCCCCATCTGCTCGACGATGCCAGGCCAGAAGCGGATGTTCGTCGCGGTCCTTCTTTCGCCTGAAAGACGGGAACATGCTGTTGAATGTCGCGCGCCATGTCCGACGCGACAGATCCCGGAGCGTCGGTCGAGCCCGAGCATAGCTGAAATTCACTTCAGCTAGAACAGCCTCCACTGTACTCTTGTTCAGACCATTATATTCTCTTGTCATGGCCATCCGCACAGCGGCCTTGTATTCATCGGACCGAAACCGCTCCTCGGGAGGGACCAGGCCACCATTGCCAACGTCATGTCGAGCAAAGTTGTCGCCCCCAGGCGCTGTGCGGGCACTTCCCTCTACCTTGGCTTCAGTGGTTCCTTCCGGGAGATTCCACCGCCCCGAAACCCATTTCTTCTTATGCCTGAGTAGCTCCTCCACACACACTTGTAACCGGCTCTGTCCGTCAAAGCGTAGTAGCAGCTCGCGGAATACCTCTATTTGCACATCGGGAAATATTCGAACCAGAGTCTCGAGTGCAGTATTGAGTTCCTCCTGTTCTCGCTTGTGTTCCTCTGTTTCGTGGACCGAGAGCTGGACGGGGCCGCGGGATCGGGAGGTACTGCCAAATGGGTTATTTCGTAGCGCTTCGAGGGTGATGGAGTAGCTGTTGGGAGAGGAGCCAGTCTGTCCTAGGGATGGCTTTCGGGAATTGCGACTGGAAGAGGAGCTAGTTGAAGAACCGGAGGCTGACTTTCGGTGGGATTGCGTGCCGTCGGCGGGGCGGGATATGGAGGATCTGGAGAAGCCGGGGACTGGCAGCGAGAGCACCATGATTGTGCAGGATTTACATGGTTTGGTAATACGAAAGTGTCAGAGGATGTCAGAATATGTCAGGGGAAGGGGATATAGGAATATGTTGGGGCCCTGGAGCCTAAAGTGAAGAATGAAGGATTTGTTACATAATGACGGACCTTCGCCTTTTGTTTCAACTTTTTTATAGTCTATTGCATCTACATCACTACATCACTCCACCACTCTTGAATATTAAATGATCTTTCTATTTGCTAGACAGGGCCCCTATCTTTTGAACTAGATCATATACACAGAAAGTCTCGTTGAGACTATGGAGCATATGATTCGTTCCTTCAAAGCCATAGTGCTGATACATCAGCCTACACCATACGATACATATGAGCCCTAAGCCAATTGAATATCAAATGGAATCTCAAAGATCGCATGCTCCTTCGAATACGGTTCAAAAGAATCACGCAATAACAATATCATTAAAATGGCAAAGAATTTACCCGTCTTCCAGCATGTTATTGAAAGGGCGCTTTCTATAGAATGCCGGCATTTATTCTTGCCTCCACTTAAACGCTACATTTATCGGATGGCCCGAAAACATCCTTTGTAGTTGTTGCATGGGGAATACAACAAGTATAATTCACTTTCCGCACATACATGGGATGGGCATAGATAGATCAGATGGATATCTGTCCAAACTACTCAAAAGTGTAGAATTTCCAAGTCGGTGTGGTTACCAAATTCAGATAGATCTCATTGGCCTCATGGGAAAAACAAAAAAGAAAGGCACAGTAGTATATACAAAAAAGAAGCAACAGTCTGATCCAAGTGTGCCGGCTCGCTTTGCCAATGGGAATATCGCTTCAACCAAAGATTTCATATTTTACAGCTTGGCCTTGGCGCCCTCCAGAAGCTCGGCACCGGCACCGGTGATAGCAGGCTTGCCAGTCTCAACAACGGTGGCCTGGAACAGGACGGTGTTGCCCTCTTTCCACATCTCAGTCTTGAGGGTCTGGCCAGGCAGGACGACACCCGCGAAGCGAACCTTGAGGTTCTTGTAGGGACCATACTTGGAGAAGACAGCCTTGGCCGACACACCGAGCGAGCACAGACCGTGCAGGATGGGGGTCTTGAAGCCGCCGACCTTGCTGAACTCGGGGTCGATGTGGAGCGGGTTGCGGTCACCGTTCAGGCGGTACAGCGCTGCCTGGTCCTCAGAGGTCTTCTCCTCAACCACGGCATCGGGCTGGCGCTGCGGCGCCTTGTACGCAGCAGTGGCAGCCTTGGCGCGCACGGCAGTGGGCTTGGGAGAGCCTCCGAAGCCGCCGCTGCCACGGATGAAGACGCTGGACTCGTTGTAGAACAGATCCTCACCGGTCTTGGCATCCTTGGTCGTGTACCCGGCCACGACGATGGCCGCGTTGCCCTTGTCGATAACGTCAATGAGCTTGGGATAGGTCAGGGTATTGGCGGTGGTGGGGATGGGGAACTTGCGAACCTCCATGTACTGCTCGCCGTGGAGCAGCATCATGGGGGAGAAGTCCTTCACCAAGTCGTCCATGTTCCAGGGAGTAGCGGTGTTGAACCAGGGGACAACACCATACGAGGGAAGGGCCTGGAATTGGTCGTTATTCTCGTAGACCAGAGGCAAGTCAGTGCGCTTGGCGCCCAAGCTGAGGTTGTACAGGATTACATCGCGGTCCTCATAGTTGAAAGGAGTGCCCTCACTCGAAAGGGCCTTGGCCTTCTCGATGTTCTTCAGGGTCTCGTTCTCGCTGGAGGCATCACCGTGCACGCGATTAGACATGTTAGCCATGATCTTCTCCACGCCGGCCTGGCCGTCCTCGGGGTGATCAGCGCGACCATCATCGAAGTTGGTGATCTGCTTCCAGTTACGAACCACCTCCTCGGGGGTCAGCTTGACGTCCACGGGGAAGCCGTGGCCGCCAGTGCGCTGCCAGCGGGTACGGCCGAACCAACCGCTACCACACTCAAACAGACCCTTGGTGGAAGGCTCAGGGGCCATGTCAGAGCACAGCAAGACCACAAGGGGAGCAACATAGTCGGGCTTGAAAGCCTGGACCATCTCCTCAGGCATAATGGTACGGGTCATGTTGGTACCCGCATTGGGAGCAATGGTGTTGACCTTAATGTTGTACTTGGCACCCTCCAAGGCTAGAGCGCGGGAAAGACCGAGGATACCAAGCTTGGCAGCAGCGTAGTTGGCCTGGCCGAAGTTGCCATAGATACCGCTGGTACTGGCAGTGTTGACAACACGACCATACTTCTGCTTGAGGAAGTAGGGCCAGGCAGCCTTGGTCACCTTGTAGGTACCACGGAGGTGGACATTAACAACGGAGTTCCACAGGTTGTCATCCATGTTGGTGAAAGCCTTGTCGCGCAGGATTCCGGCGTTGTTCACCAAGATATCAATGCGGCCGAAGGCATCAATGGCGCTCTTGACGACAGCATCGCCGTCCTCGCAGTTGGCCTTGTTGCCAACAGCCTTGCCACCGAGCTTCTTGATTTCTTGGACCACAGGCTCAGGGTCAACAAGATCGTTGACCACAACGGAGGCACCGAGCTTAGCAAACTGCAAGCAGTATGCGCGGCCGAGACCGGCACCACCTCCAGTGACCAGGGCAACACGACCCTTGAAATCAGGTTCCTCCCCAGGCTGAGCGCTGGGCGTCTTCAGGCCATCTTCCAAGAAGGCCATGAAATCGGCAGGGCCAGTGGGGTATTCGGGCTGAGAGAAATCGTTGACATCGTTCCACTTCCGGGCGATAGCACCAGGGGTTAGGGAGTCATCAGTCTTCAGGAGACCACCCTTGGCTCGCTCCCAGCGGAGCTTGGCAACGTGACCACCACCGACCTCGTAGATACCACCGGTCTCTGTAGTATTAGATGAGTGCACGAGGGCAGCGACCAAAGGAACCACCCAGTCGGGCTTAAGATTTTCCAAAACATCAGGGGGCATGACAGTTGCAGTCATGCGGCTGGCAGCTAATTCGGGGTTAGCTTCCTCAATTCATGCGTTGAGGGTTTTCAGCTTGCTTACCAATAGGAGCAATAACGTTGGCAATAATGTTGTACTTGGCACCCTCCTTGGCCAGGGTCTCGGTGAAACCGACCTGGCCGAGCTTGGCAGCTGAGTAGTTGGCCTGGCCGAAGCTGCCGAATAGACCAGCAGCCGAGGCAGTGTTGATAACACGGCCGAACTTTTGTTTGCGGAAGTGAGGCCACGCGGCTCTTGCGCACTATCCATGGAACGGGCTATCAGTTCCTGCTTCCAAGGTTTGATTTTATGTGTCTAAGGATTCTCACCTTGTATGCACCGTAGGTGTGAACTGTGTTGATCAAATCCCAGTCGGCATCCTTCATATTCTTAAAGCTAACATCCCGCAGGATACCAGCGTTATTAAGCAGAATATCAATGCGGCCGAAGGCCTTAATAGCGGTCTCGATGATAGCATCACCGTTCTCGACACTGTCGTAGTTGGCGACGGCCTTACCGCCAGCGGCGCGGATCTCCTCGACAACAACATCTGCGGCCTGGAGTAGCTGTCAGTGTCTGTCTGTCTGATTCGGAGGTGTTGCACATACCTTTCCCGACTTGCCCTCGCCCTTGTGAGAGACACCGAGGTCGTTCACAACGACATTTGCACCCCTTGAGGCGAAGAAGAGAGCATATGCCTTACCCAGACCACCACCGGCACCGGTGACGACCACCGTTTGGTTATCGAATCGCAACTCGGACATTCTGTGTATATAATGTGTCCGAAAGTTAAGTGGATAATAGAGAAATAAAAGAAGAAAGCTGGAGAAGAGGGGAGTTTAAAGCAACTCGGCAAGCTGAGGACCTCGGCACGTTTAGGTTGGTTTTGTAACGGTGAAATATTGGGGTATCGTTACAGTGGCAGATCGTCCCGTATCACATGCCGGCGTACTCCGTATAGTACTCCATACACATACATATGTAGGTGATTTCAAGTTATTTGGGTAATTTAATGAAAAAGATATATCGACTACTACATTTATGCATGAGACATATGCAAGTATGTACAATATACAATATGTACAATGTGCTGTAAATGTCTTCCCCAAGTACCCCGGGGCCGAGTACTTGCTGACTCAGGCATGTGACGGGGCAACGTCATTGTCATGTGCACTTCTACATCTTTGGATTGTTGTAGTGTTTTGCTATTTTATACTTGTCACTCGATCTAATGCACTTCTCTATAACATTTTTAACATGTCAGGCCAAAAGTAGCGGCTGAAGATACCCCGTGGGGGGAGACCCCAGATTCACTCGGCCGATTGGGGGGAATGGGGGAAACTTCCCGCGCACCGTAGCCGATAGATACAAAAGAAGTGCAATAGAAAACTACAAGTATTCGGTAGTTAAAGTCAAGTCAAAATGCCTGAAATCGTGGACGACAAGTCGCAGCACTGCATCCCCTTCCTACTCGATCGCCTGCGCGTTCATACCGAGCGGCACCGCGGCAACCCCAGTACCCCGCCGTTTTTCATCGGTCTCAATGGCGTGCAGGGCGCGGGCAAGACAGTCCTGGTAAGTTGATCCAAAGCTAGTCAATTTTTGATGCCTCGGGATCTCATATCAATTTCCTCGGAACGGGATTTAATACTAATTTCCATAGGTATCCGCTCTCAATGACACCCTCCGCTCGGAACCATACTCGCTCTCGGTCGTGACATTGTCGCTCGACGATATATACCTTGACCACGCCAATCAGGTGGCTCTATCACAAGCGCATCCTTCAAACCCCCTCCTACAGCATCGTGGTCAGCCTTCGACTCACGACCTCGCATTGGGTGAGGAGGTGTTTGCCTCGCTCGCCGCTGAACGCCCGACGGCCATTCCACATTATGACAAGTCTGCGTTCGAGGGCCAGGGTGATCGTGTACCAAAGGCACAATGGAAGATCGTCAATGAAGAGGGTCAGGAGAAAGTCAAGGTCGTGATTTTCGAAGGGTGGTGTGTCGGGTTCCGTGCGTGGGATGACCAAACCTTGCGTGCGAAATGGGAGGACGCAGTGCATCAAAAGAAGAACGGCGAATATGATGGACGACTAGGCCATGTCAAGTTTGAGGATGTCAAAGCTGTAAACGACGCTTTAAAGCGATATGATGTCTTGACTGAGTGGGTTCCTTCGGCCATTGGAGACTGCGCAACTAGAAGCTTTGCTAACATATGTTTCCTTTTCCTTCGCAGCAAGCTTGATGCTTTGATCCATATGTATGTGCTTTGTTACCACTCGACATACTTTTATCTTACTAACTAATTTCAGCGACGCCGAAAACCCTCGTTTCGTCTACGAATGGCGCCAGGAACAAGAACGCACGCTCCGTGCTGCCAAAGGCACCGGGATGACCGAAGAACAGGTCAACCACTTTGTGGATGGCTGTATGCATATACTTTGGAGAGCAATAACACCATTGATGACTGAATATACTGACTCAAACGATCGATATAGATTACCCATCCTACGAGCTCTTTACTGAAACCCTCCGCGAAGGCGCTTTCAAGCCTGCGCCACATAACCCATCAGCATCAAGCTCAGACTGGCAAGGACGACAGCTCTGCCTTGTGGTTAACCGTAGCAGAAGAGTTCAAAAGGTCATCAAAATCTAATGTGTGTGAGCTGACGCAGAACTGTGTCACATGGATATCGAATATATATATATATATATATCGCCCCAGCCCTAGAATTGACAACCCACGCTCTAGACAAAGCACTTCACTATTAAAGCTATCCGGTTAACTATACAACAAGAATAGTCGGCCGCTTATGCGGCCGTGTCAAGTCTTTTATGGTAGTCTTCTCAGATGGTCTTTTAGATGTCTTTTTTGGTAGTCGTTTTCGGCGGTCTTTTCGGATTCTTCTCAGTTAGTCTTTTCAGATGTCTGTTTTCATACATATTGTCTCCCCTTTTCTTAGTTTGTTAGCTAGACGGCAGAAAAGGGGGGGAATGCATACTTTGTGCAAGAGACTTTTCTATGTCTAACCTTTGATAACGAGCTCGTTATTTGCAGTATCGAGCATCATAAAATTGTCAAAGCGCGGCTTTAGCACAGCTTCGAAAACAACCTTACAGGATACCAAACATGGGATTCGGACCTCGGGACGGTCTTCGGCCCCACAAAATCCCGATTGCTGCCAAGGAGCTCCAGTCCAACGTTGGAAATTAAAGGCCGGGAGTACAATTGATTATGGAATACAGTTACGAGACAAATTACAAGAGGAACCAGGGCCATGACCATGCAATTGGGTTGTTTGAAGCATTAAATTGATCGGAAATCCCAGACCATCGTATCGCTAAAAATTGACTAGTGGATATAAACAGCCCGTGCAAAAAACAACCCAAGACAGTAAAGTCGTAATATTTTTGGAGGCGCGCTCAGAGAGCGCTCCAACCCGAATTCCTCATGAGAAGAAATCTAGTTCATCTGGCGGATGAGACCGTTGATGTTCTCCTCACGGTTACCAGTGTCACCACCCTCGATGTAGTGCTTGAACTTGCGAGTGCGGAAACCACCGTTGGGGTTGGACAGCTTGAAGGGCCAGAGGAAGTTGTTGGCCTGCTTGAAGTTGGGGCCAACAGTGTAGATCTCGTGGATCAGATCCTCCATGCAGACAATGCCGAACTTGCCGAGGTGCTCCTCGATGATCTGGTTGTCGGTGAGGGGAGTGCGCTGCTTGTCGACCTTTCCGTAACCACGCTTGTACAGAAGCTCGCGGACGGACTTCAGGTTGGGGTAACCGTAGGCAATGTAGGGGTTGACGATGGTCAACATCTCCTGGGTAGCCTTGGTGAGACGAATGAAAGTACCAGAGTTGATCTGGAGCAGACGCAGGAGCTGGAGGATCTTGCGGGGCTTGGGAGCAATCTTGTTGATACCCTTGATACGGACAACGAAGACGAGCTTGGGCTCACCCTCAACGAAGAAGCTGCCCTCCTGGCGAGCAACGCGGTTGAGGCGGATCTTCTCACGCTCAGCGGTGCGGTACTCCTGGACGTAGGACTCGGCACGCTTGAAGATAACACCACGCTTCTCCTTGTTGGCCTATATGAATCTCAGTCAGCATGAGAGTTCTCCAAAGTCTTGTGAAGAAAATGGCAAGTAGTTTGTGTAACTAATGTCAGACCCGAAAGATGGTTGACAGACGACAGCATTGACCGTGGTAGCGGTCTAGTCATCGTGAATGGTGTTATGCATCATGTAGTTGGAAGGGAAGTGTGGCAATGTGGGAGAAAACGGGGAAAACTGACCTTCTTGGTCTTCTCGGCCTCGGCACGGCGCTCAGCGCGGGCAGCCTCTTGGGACTTGCGCTTCTTCAGAAGGGTCTCGGGAACGAGGACCTGGTTCTGGGTGGGAACGGAGCTGTGTAATGTTAGAACAGTCTGTCCAAAATGGATGAAGACTGAGACAATTCGCCGAGTGAAAGAATTGCAGCATATAGCGCCACATTCTCAACTGAAGGCATAAAAGAACTCGACGAAATGTCTTTAATCAGTGAGGGCCAAGGCATCGGAGTTTCATAATCGATTATAGCTTGGTACTAGCCATGCATATTCCAGCATAGTGTTCACAAGCCCGATCACCCGCAACATGCCATTGATGCCTTCATCCGACAAAACCCCGAACAATGTTCAGGAAATATATGTTGACACTCTTTCGCTTCAGGATCATGATGCTGTTACCACATCATGAGCGCCCGAGAACGATAGTTCACAACAATATTTTTGGAGGAGAAGGCGCCAAGCGCTTTCAACCTCAAAGACTCCATCACCCTTTTTTCTGTATCCGAACTTTGCTCCGTGATAGACAACAAGTGTATCCGAGATAGTTGGAATCGAGATAGAGGGCAGGAAGGATCGAGCTGGTGCCTAGCCGTCATCGTTGTGGACAAACGGCTGGCATCCCCAGCGAGAAGGACGACTATACCCGCAACCTTACAAACTCAAGCAGAGATTGCATCAGTCTTAGGAAGAAGTCATTGGGAATCATACGTAGTAGCGGCCATTTTGAAGGTCCGGACGAGGTCGAGAGTCGGCTGGTTGTCGAAGGATGCAAAGGAAGAAGAAAAAGTTCGAAGAAAAGGAATGTAAGAAGAGACTTCGCTTGTGTGAGTGCGGGTCCCCTAGCCATATGTGGCTAGCCTAGAAACTAACCAGCGCTAACCTGTTCCGGTTCCAGCCCTTATCGGACTTTGGATAAGGGTTTGTCTCTTATCAGATGACCTCGTGGATCTCGGACCCGCCTGGTGTAACTACATGTAATCAGGACTATCAAGTGAACCTGATTCCCCTTACACTCCATACACCATGTCTCGTCGCGGAGTTGGCCTCGGGGCTTTTGCAAACCGAACTCAGGCCACGCAATCTTATGCTACTCATGGCGCCAATCTCCGCTCTACGCATACTGCCTCCCTACAGACCCAGTTGTCGGTTTTCCAGTCGTTGCTCCACACGTTTGCGCTAGAACATAGCTCTACGATAAAGTCCAACCCGACGTTTCGAGCAGAGTTTGCGCGCATGTGCAACACCATCGGGGTTGATCCCCTTGCAGCAAGCAATGTCAAGGGCAAGAATGGCCGCCGCGGACTGGGAGAGGGGGGCAGCTTCTGGACCCAGATTATGGGCGGAGATATGAATGACTTTTACTTTGAAGTCGCAGTTAGAGTTGTGGAGTTATGCAGAGAGACCAGGAGCGAAAATGGTGGGCTGATTGGTGTTGAGGAGTGTCGGAAGCGAGTGGGGAAGGGCAAGGCGATTGGGGGTGGGCTTGAAGTCTCAGAGTATGGAGTTGTTCCTTCAGGCAATAAGGATACTTGTACAAGTGACTATCTGAACTAACTATGTGCTCGACAGTGACGACATCCTACGAGCAGTTCGGTCTCTCGAGCCTCTTGGCTCGGGGTTCTCCATCGTCAAGGTCGGCAGCAAGCAGTACATTCGGTCCATTCCCAAAGAACTCAACACCGATCAGGCAACAGTCTTGGAAGTGATTCAGGTGCTGGGCTTTGTGAGCGTTTCAATGCTGCGGTTGAACCTCAAATGGGAAAAAGCTCGAGCACAAACTGTAATCGACGACCTGCTTGCTGATGGTCTAGTCTGGTTGGATGCCCAGGGCCCTGAGAAAGAGTACTGGTCACCCCAAAATCTTCTAGAGGATAGTGGATGAAGCAGCAGACTGATGTGATTCGCATACAAATTACACGATCATAATGCCTCATGCTACCATCCCTCGAGCTACACCTTTCTGGGAGAATCCAAGTCATAAGTATGTGACTCTCGAGTTTTTGCATGGTAAAGCGTTAAGGATGCATTGAACAGTCGGCGCTTCGAGGGGAGCGACATTCGCCCTTCCTTTCTCCGCGGTCAGACCACGACGAGCTACAGTTTGCTCGATACCATTATCTGGGGCATTTGTCTACAGCCATTGAAACTACAGAAAGAGGCCATCCAGTTTACGTAGAGAGATTCGAACTTTAGTGATAGGCGAGCAAGCACTATTGGCAAGGATCGTACACAACAGGAATTCACCAAGAAAGGGAAACCGTTGATGAATCATTTGTGGTTTTTTAATAAACTAAGGTGCTAGTTCGATAGCAATAACGACATATTCTATTTGTCTGGCGAATCTGACGAGTCTGAGAACCTCATTTTTGGGTGTTGGGGTGACACGGCATTGCGTGATATGGAGGGACAAACATGTAAGATATCCCCCGCAAGGGAACTGTTGATATATAAACTGTCTCATATCCCACCCATGAAAAGTAATAGTCCACTGATTTCAATATAATTTGAACTGATCAACCATACTGCATATACCTTGCTACTATGTCTCAGTCTAGTGTTCTAGCGACAGACCCCGCTGTCTACGCTGAATATGAAACCACATGGTCCAATCTCCCAGACACCGAAGAAGCATGGATTGTTAGGGCCCAAGAGGTCTCCGAGGTGCTAGCCAAGGATGCGGCCCAAAGAGACCAAGAGAACAAATCGCCGCGCGCCGAAGTGGCCTTGCTCAAGCATTCTGGCTTGACAAAGCTTCTAGGACCGAAGAAGTATGGTGGTGGCGAGCAACCCTGGAGTATTGGATATAAAGTGATAAGAGAGGTTGCAAAGGCAGATGGGTAACACCCCAGCATCCCCCATGACCCCTAAGGATAGCCCCTAACAAGAAGACAGATCTATCGGTATGCTGCTTGGCTATCACCTTCTCTGGTCTACTATTGCAAATGTGATGGGTACTCCTGAACAAGCCGACCGAACCCATCAATTGATAATTTCAAACAACTACTTTGTCGGTGGCGCTGTGAACCCCCGCGACAATGATCTGAAGATCACTCCGGATGGAGACCATATCGTATTCACCGGGAACAAGTACTTCAACACTGGAGGCGTTGTGTCCGACCTCACAGTCCTTGAAGGTATATTGGATGGCACTCAGGATCATATCTTTGCATTGGTCGAGACCCAACAGCCCGGTATCCAGTTTGCTCACAACTGGCACAACATTGGGTTGCGTCTGACCGAGTCTGGGGGCGTGAAGATAGAGAATGTCCGTACTTCTTGGTCAGATGCACTGGGCTGGGATGCAGCTACTAAGAAGCCTCGCGATGATACCCTGAAGATCGCATTCCCTACTCTATTCCTGCCAACGTAAGTGCAGTCTATGCCATTCCATATGTCATACCCCCTTCTAGCGGTTACATGGCTCAATGCTCACTCGCTTGTTTTCCACAGCATCCAACTGGTCTTCAGCAATTTCTACTTAGGCATTGCTCTCGGTGCTTTGGATTTCGCCTCCAAATATACCACGACCACAACACGTGCTTGGCCTTTCGGCGGCGACAACAAGGAATCAGCGACGGATGAGTTCTACATCCTCGAACGCTATGGTAACTACTTTGCACATCTGCGTGCTACGGAAGCCCTTGCCGATCGAGCAGGCGATCAGCTCTCAGGGCTTTATACTCGATATCAAACGCAGAAACCTGGTCTCACAGCCCAGGAACGTGGAGAGGTTGCGGAGTGGGTGGCTAGCATCAAGGTGGTCGCCACAGATGTCGGACTCAGGGTTACTTCTGGTGTATTTGAAGTGACTGGAGCCCGGGCCACGGCCTCAAAGGTTGGATTGGATCGATTCTGGCGGGATATTCGAGTGCACACTCTTCATGATCCGGTGGCTTACAAGAATCGGGAACTGGGACGATATGCACTACTGCATGAAGTGCCTGAGCCTAGTTGGTATACTTAGGTGTTATGGAGTAGAATGAAATGCATGTCAATGCATGTCCATATGAAAATGGATATCTACAAGGTCAAACTGTACGATGTACAACGTATACACAGGACAATGTCTGGCAAATCTTAGTTAACCCTTAATTCTTCGTTTTATACCATGCGAAATTGGGTTTTGATAAATTGATATGCCCTTTCGTCCGTCTAGAGATACCGGTACGGTGGATTAAGGTTTGATTGGTCCAATCAGGTCTATATGTATCCATGTATATACTCCGTAGGTACTCCGTGATTGTGTCATTATGAACTACCAGCCCTGTATATAACCTGTGCTGATAACATTCAAAGCCAACCTTGACATGAGTATTTCTTGGATTCCGTTCTCCCGCCAATCCCCTTATCTGATCCCACATTTTGAATTATTTCCTGCTTCAAACAAAGAGTTTTCAGAATAATCTTTGGTTTTTGCCTATCTCAGTATGACCAAGATGGAGCAGCAAGATAACCGGAGCGTGGATCGTGCTAGCAGCTACAACCTTGATTTCGATGCTACTTTCCTCAAAAATCTGCCTCCTTCCATCAGAAGACATACGTACCATGGAGAGCAGCAATTTTTTGATATCCTCCAATCCGAATTCGCACGCTTCGAAGCCTCATAAACTGACACCAGCGAATTTATCCTTTTTCATGCAAGTAAAGAAACCATCGAAACCCTTTTCAATCCGCCAAACGAAGACACTCCCCGGTTTTGGCTCAAACCTAACGAGGGCAACGCCAACTTATGCTTAACGCGCCGAATTCACAAGTCGCGCCTGGAAATTCGCATTGAAAAACGGGAAAGGCAGCAGAACAGAATCCACCGCTCCCAAGTCACTTATATCACAAAAAAAGGGGATCACTCTAATGTCACCCAGCATCCCTTTACTATCCCATTCGAAAGCCTCTTCTGCCGACAGTCATCTTGTCCTAGGGAAAGAGATATTGACTTCACACGAGGACAGCTCGAGGACATTGCAGAGACAATTTGGCAAACCCAGGGCTGGTAGATCGTCCAACGAAAAGCGTGAACTTTCTCCGCTGCTCCTCTACCTCCATCTTTTTTTTTATCTCCTCTTCTACGTCTCTCCTCAATATTTGTTTTCTCTATCTTTTTTACTAGTCTTACCTATAGCCAGGATGGAAGAACAACCATGGATAATTCATATAGGAGATCATCTGACCATGAAGTATGGGGGTTTTTTTTTGAGATATTTCAAATCAACTTCTCTACATCTCTTCCTTCCGGGTCTAGATCTCGGGTGTGAATCATTAGTTCTTTATTAGTGTTTAGCTTGATCTGTATTATGTGCATTAGGGTAAGTGCATTGCATACATGCATGCATACATATAACTATGTCACTACATACATAAAACGGAAGGGTCTAGTTACCTACCTAGGTATGTACATAGGTACACATGTACAGATAAGAGCCCCGCACACCCAACGGCCCGATAACCTTTCGGTCCAACTTTTTTTTCTTTTCTTTTCTTTTTTTTTCCCCCTCCCTTTTTTTCCTCTCTGTGGAAAAACATTCAACAGTGAACAACTTCACTTGTACTTTGTCTTTATTGGACTCTCACTATCTCTATATCTTCATATCTCTATCCAATTTCGGAATCATCCCAACAACCGCCAATATGTCGCAAAAGCAATATGCCACTTACAATGATGTAAGAACCCCAGTCTATTGACTATATCGTTCTGTTGGTCAAAAAAAGATGTTAAAGACATCGAAGATGTCAAAGACATACACATGAACAGCAGCATCAAGATCTCCCTCAACCCCGCAAAAATGCAGATTGTCTTATCGCAGTCCACAATTATAATCCCTCTGAACTTTAAAAAGACTGAGACTAACACAGAGATCCTCGACAGGTCCACAAGCTCTGCAAGAACTCGGCAGAAAATACCCTCTTGGCCTTCGAGCCTAACCTTATAATCGCCATCGGCGGTGGTGGTTACATCCCTGCCCGCATCCTCCGGTACGTTCAATCCACACGTGCACCTTCATCTGGACTATTCTGATCCTTACTTCCAAACAGGTCCTTCCTCAAGAAGCCCGGTAAGCCTAACATCCCCATCCAGGCCATCGGTCTGTCCCTCTACGAGGACTTGGGCAAAGGTGAGGCTGAGGAGGTCCCCGGTACCAAGGTCACCCGTTTGCAATGGCTCGACATGAGCTCCTCGGAGATGACCAACTTGGTTGGCAAGAACGTTCTTATCGTTGACGAGGTTGATGATACCCGCACAACCCTACAATATGCCGTGGAAGAGCTCGAAAAGGATGTCAGGGAAGCCCAGAAGCAGCTCGGTCCCGAGGACGAGAGGAAGAACAAGAAGACTAACTTCTTCATCTTCGTTCTGCACGTATGTTTTCTTTTTGTCTATCTGCAGGTTGATGGGTTTGGCTGACAACTGGAATAGAACAAGGACAAGGTCAAGAAGGGTAAGCTGCCCACAGATATGACGAAGAACGACCAGCGTTACCACGCCGCGGTCACCACTGGGGATGTCTGGATCTGCTACCCTTGGGAGGCTGAGTATGTTATACCTCGAACTTTCTATCTTCTGCATTGTGGCTGATTTTTTCCTTTCTTCTATTTGCAGGGACATTGAAGAGCACGATCGCCAGGCCAAGTTGTCTCCTATCGTCAATATTCCGAAGGAGTCTGTCAAAAACCTCTCTGCCGAGGCCGTCCAAGAAGAACCCTCTCCTAAGGTTGTTTAAGCAAATGATTGCATTATCATAAGCATTCCCTTTTGCGCGGCGCTCTGATGGTTTATATTGGGGACTCTTTTAGTTCTCGATTTTACTGTCCATGCTCAGACCTGGTGCATAAACCTGAGCGTGTAATTTTTACGATATCCTTGATGAATTTCTATAGAAAAAGTTCTTTCTTTTTGGCAGACTGGCAGACCAGCAGGCTGCCCCCAAAAGACTTTCTGACTTGAAACTGCTCTCGCACTCCCGTGCTCCAATTTTTTTTTCTGAAAGGAAATGCCCAGTAATCACCGGGGCCTTTGTTGTAATCACCAACTGGAAACCTGGGCCTTGGGTCCTCCAACGTTTGCTTTGCAGACATTGAATTGTAGACGGGTATCAAGAGAATATAGCATTGGTAGCGGAAAACAAAAAGTCACTAGAGCATAGTGTATTATATTGATCCGGCGCAGCCTTTTCAATCCTGCGAAGACAAAAGCCTCCGCGTCCAAGCACTAATCCACAGCCTGAACTTCTCAGACTCCGAACCAGACCCAGACCCTGTCTGCCTGGGTTCTGGATCCGAGAATCCGGTTATCAGTTCAATCCATGCGCATAGCGATGTCTTATTTAATCGACCTCAACCTTGCCCTGGCGCAACTCCACCTTGGCAAGCTCGATCTCCTTTTGTAGCTCGGCGTGTGCCTCGGGGACATCGTTGAAGGTGAAGATCGCCACACCTAGGCGGCCAAGGAGATAGCAAGCGAAGACAATAAGCGCGTAGAATGGGAGCTAGGTGATAATAGGTTAGTTCTCCTTCCATCGACACATTCAAAGATCGGAATTGGGGGGTCGGAGGGTTGACGCGGTGGGTAACGTACAACTGGAATGACTTCAGTCTGGACAGTTTCATTCAGGGGAACGAGTCCAAGGAAAAGGGAAAGGTAGAGCTGATCAATAGTCAGTAAGACCCATGCGGGATTGTGTTCCTTTCTGAGATGGAGGGACTTCGTAGCATACCGAGGAGACAAGGAGAAGAACGGAGAGGGTCTGAACAGCACGCGTCATGGTGAAATAGGTAGAAAAGATAAGAAATTCACAAAGGAGAGGAGAGAGGTCAATTGTGAAGATGGCACCGGTTTATCGTAGCAAAAATGAGGGACTCGGGGGTGTTGCAGTGCTGTATGCGGCAAAGGCCAGCTTGAGTGATGCGCTTCTTGGCGCCCGGACCGGGTCACTGGTCTTTACCTGTCAAGTCTATAGTGATATCCAGACAGGGGATCAAGGTTTTAGAGTTACTGTATGTATGGCCTTGTTGAATATATCTATTCGTCTATATCTAATTATCCCATATGTTTGAAGGAATATAAAAAGATAAAAAAAGAGAGAGGAACGAACATCGACAGGTATATCTGCCCTTCCGCTTTGAGCACGCGGGCTCGCACTAGGTTACGTAATCAACGGACTTGACCTCAATAAAATGCACTCACTACAGCATACATATTTGTTTCATACTTGACCATTGTCATAGGGGCTAGAGTCATTGATGAGACAGTATATTCTCATATGTTTTGTATTGCAAAAGAAATTTATGCGAGAAAATATAGCTTGGCCTAGATTCGGGGCGTTCCGATCTGCTCATGATCTATGAAACTATGATCACCATTCCTGAACCTCACCCGAGTACCTCACGAACTTGCCACCATACTGCTCCTTGGTGCCTGTACTCAGAACCTCAACCATCCCAGTAATTGACTTCTCATAGGTGTCCGGCGCCTCCTCTAGGCCCCAAAGCTGTGCAGCAGCATTGCCCATGTCAGTCTGCACCCAGCCGGGATCCAAGACAAACGCATTGAGCCACTCGTCCTCGGCGTTGATGCGAACGCCATACCAGTTGATAATTGACTTCGATGCACCATACGCCGCATTTGGAACTGGAGGTTGGCGTCTAGAGATAATTAGCTTCCATTTACTGTATCCCAAATTCGAGCAGACATACGCGAGACCACCGCCCCCGGACCCCATAATGGCATAGATGGGCTTTCCGGTCGACTTCTGCAGCAGATTGCGTGTAGCCTGGTATAATGACACGGCGCTCAACACGTTGACGTCAATATGCTCGACTATGTCGGCCCGCTTGACGTCCTTGACGAGTGGATATAATTTGGCAATGCCGGCATTAGCGACGACAATGTCGAGGTGGCTAATGCCCTGATCGGTGGCTTCTTTGACGGTATCAAAAGCTGACTGCTCAACGCTCGCTTCATACTTGACTACTATGACACGGCTGCCCTCGCCTGTGGACAGCTCGGCAAGTGCCTGAGCGGTCGAGTGCTCTGGGTCACGGACAGCAGCTATAACAATCTATCGGGGATCCAGTGTTAGTTGCTGTGTCCCAGATTGCAAATGGAAGAGAGAAAAAGAAGAATTCACATGGTCCGGTTTAGCGATGAAACCCTTGACCAGCCCTAGGCCCAAGCCACGATTGGCACCAGTGATGAGGACAATAATCGGGGCCATTATGGGTTATAACGACCGTTTTAGAGGTCTATAATCAGATATAGGAAAAGAGAATGAGAATCTCCACTGATCGATTAGACTCGAAGCGGGTTTGGTCAAATGTAACTGAAGTATAGTACCCTATAGATGTCCGACTCAGTGTACACTTATATATGCTTCTAGGTGAGAGATGAACAGGCATTGTTGATTATCAATCCATACATATCTCATAGCTAATCTCCAATCTCCGGCGCTCAAGTATCTGATTACAAATGCAGGTGATCCCTGCCACCTGCACCTCCAACGCCGGGAGGCTGATATATCACCATTTTAATGGATAATTGCGTGGGAAATGAATGATCTACGTATCTGAAAGGAGAAAGCGGCCATCTGTACGTACATCCATTATTTGTATGGGCACTGATAACTCCATCGATCACCGAGATAAGTCCGATATTGCGGAGTTGAACAAGAATATGTTGCACTTATCTGCTCTCAGATTCATGTTACAAGAGTAAAATTGATGACAAACATGTAGTTTACAACTAAAATGTGATGATCTATGAAATCAATGCCGATAACGACTATTTTCTGGCCGTAACTGCTAGCAGTAAGAAGGTATACAACGAAACAAAACGGGAGCCCGAGATCACGTTCCCGAACGTGCCCTAGACCCTACGCCAAGGAATGAATTTTATGGATCTGTCTACATTAAATTTTAATACTAAGCCAAAAAGGTGCTTAAGTATGAGATAATGCTAGTCGAGCATTGAAGTGAGCCTTTTCGGAATGCGGGATGTTTTTATACTAGTATATGTGAAGGTCGTGTAATTCACGTATTAAGATTGAATGATTTCGAAACACGACCACACTTTAACGGTCCTCTTTCCCAAAATTAGAAGCTATAGGCTACTGGTTAAGGAACTGTAGGATAATGGTTAGTCCATCAAGCTTATGTAATTATCCCTAACCGGGAAATTTCATGATTCATTCCTTGAATATCGTGGTTCGATTCCGCGCAGCTCCATCTTTTTTTCTTTTTTTTTTTTTTTGCCCCTATATCGGATTTATGTATTTTGCCTAACAGCCATAACCAAAACTCCGTAGTGAGAGAACCTTGGATTAATGTGATATTATATACTACCTAGGGATATATATTTGCTATTTATCGGGTTATTTCTTTTCCCTCTACCTACAAGCTTCCAAAAGCTTCTTACACACAGAGTAGTCCGAGCGGAGCACGTGATCACGAGCAAGAATTGATATTTGATCTCAGTGGATAGATACATATAGTATATAGTTTTATATTTATCCAAGGAAGGTGCAACACAGAAAACATGATGGCTCCATATAACATTACTGGTATACTTGGGCCTAACCTAACTAAACGAGATTGGTGCCTGAATCCACCTCAGGCAGCACCCTCCGTCTTTCCACGAAGAGTCTAAACTTACTTTGTATCTGCGATATTTCTGCTGAGGAGCCGCTTGTCTTCCACTAATCAAAAAACCATTTTTAGGCTCTCGTTGCCTGATTAAAAGCCACCAGTACTTTCATACCAGAGCAAACGCTGTTTGTTTACAGTGTTTAAATTGTTGCGACGGGGTCAACAGGCTGCCATCTAGGCTCCTCCATCTAACTGAGGAGGCCTTTCCCGTTCGGCCAGAAATTCGTATATTCATATCTTCAACTCAACACGGACCCTTCCAAGTTACCCCACACCCCGGAGGCAACTGTCTGGCCTCGATTCGGCAAGATGTCTGACACGGGTATATCTACCGCCCAACTGGCCGTTCATGGAGATGCTGGCCACTCAGTCTCGAAAAAGGGGGATTTGGAATTGCCTCCCATCAAAAAGATTCTCTCAGATCTACCGGAGGTTTCTTCCTCTTTACCACCCCGCACGGAAACCATTGACTCGGAAGAACAACAGGAGATGTTCCGTGAATTGCGAGACATCATTGAAAAGGCCCAGGAGGTCGACGAGGCTGGAAATAGCTTCGATCTCAAGGAGCTCCATGCATCTCTCGAAGAGGCCGATGCAAACACGAAACGCGGGCGACGGGACGCCGACACCCTACAAAGCGTGAGGGCTACTCTGCAAAAGCTCTGGGCTTGTAACTCCCAGTACTTGGTTCAAGCTACTGAAATTATTGCGGATGGTAGCAGAGATCGTGGGTCAATCTTATCTTATATGTCAATCTTACGACTTGCTGATTAGGATCCAGCTTCATGGCGTGCTCTATTTGGCCAGTCTGGTGTTCTGGACTTCTTCCTGGATGTAGTTTCTTTGAAGGGCGAAGTTGATACCAGCTTCTTGCTTCACTCTTTGCGAGTTATTGGAAACTCATGTGCCGATACAGGTATGCTGCAATTAGTTATATATGTGCCCAGATATCTAACGTCGATGCAGATGAGAATAGGGAGATTGTTGTCAAGGGAAACTATACCCTTGCTATCATTCGATACTTCCTCGATCCAGATTTAGTTTTTGTTGCCATCCCGGTCATCTACAACATTTGCATGGATTACAGTATGTCCAGAAAATGCCGGCTGGTGATACACATTTTGCTAATGTGATATCAGAACCAGCACATGCCCAAATAGCTGCCAATCGAACAGCTTACATCTTATTGAAGCTGATAAAAGATGGCGAGATCGAAGACAATGAGGCTCTACTCAATTTCTCATACGACTTGATTGAGTTGGCCTCAGAGCAAGGTATGCTTTATTTTAACCTCAGTCTGTTTACCGATCTAACATATAACTCACAGCCGAAGGCATTGAACACTCTCCCGACGGAACAATTCTACTGCTGATGGAGCTTGCTATTGATGAGACTCTTGATTTTGCACATTTCTCATCATTGGCAACTTCTCTTGCTGCTTACCTAGAGCACGAAAAGTTCCAGAATGTTTGCGTGTCGAATGGAATGGTGGAAGGCGTGCTGGACGTCCTGCGCCATTCATTTTCGATTGTGGTGGACCCTTCTTTGAGCGAAGATGTCAAGGCTCTCGCGCAGGTCCGCCTCAAGATTAACCAGGCTTTGGCTGAGGTATCAGCCTCACCATTGTTCGCTCAATACTACCCACTTGACTCTCCTCTTTCACAGACATTGAAGTCATGGGTGGTTGCAACCGAAGATCAACTTCAGATCTGTGCCTGTGTCATGCTTGGAAATCTCGCCCGGTCCGACGAGGTCTGCCAGGTGATGGTCCGGGACTTGAAAATCCACGAAGAATTGATATCCGTTCTCAAGGGTGATGCCCGTGGTGCAGTACTGCACTCTTCGCTTGGTTTCCTGAAGAACCTTGCAATTGCCGGCGACAACCGAGCCATTCTTGGAGAAGCTGGTATCATTCCTGCCATTTCACGATTATGGGCATATGAATCTGTTCCGCAGGTTCAATTCTCGGCTGCAAGTATCGCACGCCAGGTGATTATCTCCTCGATGGATAACATTTCCCATCTTCTCGCTCCTCTCTCGCAAGATCTTGATTCCCCGGCCCACCAACGGACCTATCTCTCTCTGCTCCTGTCTCTTTTTGAGAAAACAGACTCCACGCCAATCAAGACTGAAATTGGGCGGACAGTTGCTTCGATCTGTCGGACTGTTAGCCCCAAGGCTCGCGATGGTAATGAACAAGCAAAGTCCTTGCTTGACCGGCTGTACACCCTGCACGAGGGTGTTTCGCTACCAGTAGGTGCGATGATCACACAGACTCAGTGGCCTGTTGTTCGCAGTGAAGGCTGGTTTGCTCTAGCTCTAATGGCCACAAACAAACTCGGTTGTGCCGCCGTTGTGGACTGCTTGCACAAGACAGAGGTTACCGAGTTACTCAAGACGACCCTAGGCGGAGGCACTCCTAATCAAGATAAGGCTGAGGAGACAGACAAGTCGCAAGAGATCAAAGACCGTGACAACGCTTTTGTTCTTGTGCAGGGACTGCTGACGAACGAGGTGGGTATTTTTCTCTAGAATAATGCTAGTCATCTGCTAACTGGAAAATAGTCTGGTGCACTTCCTGTGGGTTATAGAGATATGCTGGAAGACTTGGTGAAATTCAATGCCTCACAGTTGAAGGCTGTAACAGATGCTTAATTGGAGAGCTTCAAGATGATATGATGCATTTAGAACACACGTGTTATTATGGTTGCATATGATGTGATGTCTCGGCCAAATGTGTGCTTTGATGTAGACCGTCGAACCAATATTGTCTAGGAACGGACTCAAAAGAAGGCCATGAAATACCTTTCTAGAGGAACTAAAATAGAGGGAAATTTCTCACTGTATGTATCCCTCAAAACATGATAATTTGAATCAAGTATCGCTGTAGGCATAGAGATAGCTCGAGTACCCGAGCAAAAAAACATACTTCTTTATAAGGACCGTGCAAAAGCCGTGCAAAAGTTGAACAAAATCGTTGGGTATATACGTATATGTACATGTAACTTCCTCCATTAATTGACACTATCTGAGACCCAGGGGTTTCCAGGTCATTCGGTCTGCAAACACACTTTCTCCTGCGCATATGCTCGGTAACGAGTTATGAGATCCGTAGCGTCCAGGCCAGCCGCACCTTGGCGAGCGGAATAATGTGAAACAAGCCCCTTTCCATCTATGATGACATGCGGACGAGAGCCATCCGGCATATGCCAATTGCGGGAGGATCCCTTTTGGTTGTTACGGAAAATACGGTGCACATCCATTGCATCATTACCCCAGAAGCACCCAAAATTCTCGCTGGCAGGCTCGGTTGGATCGACCCACATCGGGAACTTGTAACGGCCCAAATCATTGTGTTCTAGGTGGTGCAAGAAGGAGTAATGTTGCTGTGCACCAACAGTCCAGTCATGCAGGGTTGGACCAGTGTCGGTGTATACGGATCTCGCGATAGGATCTCGAGCAGAGCCCGCATCTCTGGGGAGTAGCCAGCGATGCCCTTCAAATGGCGGATCAAAGTCTTTGCTTACTTTGAAGCTCAGTGGGCCCTGCCAGCTTGGAAGGCTTGAAGCGCGCCAGTCGTGCTTCAGTTGCGACTTTGATCGGGACGGTTGTTTCACGTCGTACAATTCTGGTAGATATGGGAGTGCAGTTCCCGGATGACTGTGAAGAGATGCGAGAGCTGCCTCGTTTATCACATTGGCCGATACCATCAGCGTGCTTGGATTGTCGAGTTTCGTCTTGACGATGGTCGAAATGGCATTGTCCTCCAGAAACACGATATCACCGTCGATTCGGATGTACATCACATTATCCTTTGCAACTTTCCATTCCATTTCATGACCGCGAGAAGAAATAGCATACTCGGGTGTTTGGTTCACGATAGAGTACAGCCATTCCATGCTAACGGCGTCATCGGTCTGCGGCACAAAGACGACCTGATCAAGAAATCCATTATTATGGACTAGGTTTTTCTTGAATTATGTTAGAATTAATCCATATAGTAACGGTGAGATGGTGCATACCTGCAAATAGCAGTCCAAGATTGCTGTACGCTCATGGTAATGGAAGGGAACTAGAGCGACTATCTTGAAGCCCTGCGGCTTAGAGTAATGACTCGTTCCTTGCGAGAATGCGAAGAATGGAGAAATCTCCTTGCGAAACAGTAATGAAGAGATATCAAAGGGTATAAGCCCCGGGTTGGAGTAGGCTAACACCATAAAAATGATGCATGCATAGCCAACAACGCCCCACAGAAGGACAAAGGCCCAATCGCGCCAGTGCGAGTGCTTTTTCTCATTGTTGGACTCGATATCGCGAAGGTTCTGGGTATGACCCATGATTAACAGCTCCCGCGCCATCTGGCAGTCGTTTGAGAAACCGAAGATAATGGAAAAGCGGTTGTGAATCTCTGGGCATCATGGCCCATTTTAATGTCGAGCAAGACCATCTTTCCGGTCGTTTGAATGAGGCTTGAGGATCCGTTTTCGGGACTTGGAAGTCCTAGTAGTCACTAACAGAAACCGCTATAAAACAAGATCGACCCCCTTCAATTCTTTTTCCTTGATAAAGAGCTAGGATCCGCCGTGTATATTGCCGGATTGGGTAATAGTTAATTGCAAGCGGACAGAGGACGAGGAATGTGGTTGTGGAATGCAGGGGTCGACGACTTCAGAAGATTAGCCAGAGCGTAAACAAAGCCATCAACGAATAGGTTATCTTTCATAATTACTAAGTTATGCGTATTCTGTACAAGTTATATATGCTCAACATGAGTAACATAGTTATATAGTATAGTAACTATGTGATAGGGTTTGTCTTGTATGTCTTGTTTGTCCCATTGTCTACTATGACGTCGCAGCACGTGTTTATCGTTCGGGATCTTGACCAGGAGTTCTACTCCGAGGCTACTTCTTAATTCGACTTCGACTTTTCTACTAAGTTCGTCATTCTATCTTCATATTATACGCCTGCATGATAACATGAGGGCAGCCGGTCTCTTCGGCCGTTTCTGTCTCAAACGCGGACTTCTGCGTCTCCCCCGACAACATTTCAGTCACCCGCCATGGCCTCGGCAACTACTAAAAGGCACCCCGCGAAGGGCTCCCGTAATAGGTGGGGTGCTCATGGCCACTCTGGCACCAGCAGCCTTTTTGAAACTGGCGGAAGAGAATGATGGCCACGACAAGACCGCGGAAATGCAGATGCTGGAGGCTTCGCGCGAAGAGGCCCGGAAGACGGTTTCGCCCGACGCGCAAGGTTTTTCGAAGCTCTCCCAGACAATATGGGTCTATTTTTATTGTTATGTCTATGATCCTATTGCTATAGGCATCCGCTTTGTTCACCTTGCTATCATCTTTATTCCGGTTGTCGCCACGGTGCCCGCTATCTGGCTTGGTCGCAAAGTGCAGGGCCGGGATGGCGCGCGGTCTGGCACATTGTGGTGGTATCGGTTTTTGGTGAAGGCAATGGAGCGGGCTGGTCCTGCGTTCATCAAGGTAAGTTTGGTTGGCGAAGAACTGTCCATTGAGACTGAACTGACAAGCTGACTTCTTGAATAGCTCGGCCAATGGGCTGCTTCACGAACAGATATTTTCCCACCGGAAATGTGCAACATAATGTCGTCACTTCACTCAAATGCCCCCGCTCACTCACTTCACCAAACGAAGCGTATCATCCGCAAAGCATTCAATGGACTACCATTCGAGGACATATTCGAAGAGTTCCAGGAGGAACCACTGGGTGTTGGAGCGATTGCACAGGTCTACAAGGCAAAGCTGAAACCGAGCCTTGCTGCAACCAATGAAGAAGAATTGGGCATCGGACCACCAACCCTGGGTGAGAAGGTTCGAAAAAATGTCGACGTGCTGGTCAAGAGTTCCCCGCAGCGGGTGCCATCATCGTATGTCGCGATCAAGGTGCAGCACCCCAGGGTTGAACAAATGATACATAGAGACTTGCGGATCATGTCATTTTTTGCCCACTTGATCAATGTCATCCCCACGATGCACTGGTTGTCTTTCCCTGATGAAGTACAACAGTTTGGTGAAATGATGAAGCTACAACTGGACCTTCGGATTGAAGCCGCCAACCTCGTTATATTCCGCCAGAAGTTCAATTCTCGCACTACTGCTTGGTTCCCATACCCATACTTAGAATACACCACCCGTGAGGTGTTGGTTGAGGAATTTGCCCAGGGCATCCCGTTGGCCACCTTCTTGGATATCGGAGGGGGTTTATATCAGCACGATATTGCCAATCAAGGCCTTGATGCATTTTTGCATATGCTGCTCATAGACAATTTTGTCCATGCCGATCTTCATCCGGGGAATATCATGGTTCGTTTCTACCGGCCCAGCGAGCTGGACCTTTCCCTTGGCAAGCATTCGCGTGCATTTAATGCCCCGACACGGGCCGAAGTTGATGTGACAGAGGCAGTCCTCAAGCGGTTACGTCCGAATCTCGATGATCCCGAGGATTGGAAGGCTGCTCTTTCCCAGCTCAATGACGAGGGGTATAGACCGCAGTTGATATTTATCGACACTGGTCTTGTCACTCAGCTCAATGAGACCAACCGACGGAACTTCCTGGACCTCTTTCGAGCTATCGCTGAATTTGACGGATACCGGGCTGGTCAGCTTATGGTCGAGCGATGCCGAACACCGGAAGAAGTCATTGATCCAGAGATATTTGCGCTGAAAATGCAGCATTTGGTTTTGAGTATCAAGTCTCGAACCTTCGCTCTGGGCAGTGTCAAGATTGGCGATATCCTCAGTGAGGTATTGACTATGGTCCGTGGGCACCACGTTCGGTTTGAAGGAGATTTTGTCAACGTCGTCATTTCATGTCTTTTGCTTGAAGGAATCGGACGTAGTTTGAACCCCGACCTAGATCTGTTCAAGAGGTAAGTTTTCTCCTCCACGAGGCTTTCAACTTGTTCAACTAAAGCTGACTTTATCTAGTGCCCTTCCTATTCTACGACAATTGGGATCTGGCAGTTCATTCTTGCAAACTGTGCGCTCGGGCGACTACTCAATGCTCTGGGTCTGGGTTGGCCTGGAGGCTCGTGGAATGCTGCAGGCCAGTGTCGAGAGTGTTGAACATTGCGTCAAGTACGACCAACTGTCCCCTAATATATAAGACCATTCGCCATTCTTCTTTTGTACCATACATGCTCAATTCTCCACTGTTGATATGAAAGCTCAGATGGCATGTCCGTTGAATGATAAAAAGACAGCCAGACTTGGTTTATTTTTGTTATTTTAGAGAAATACACTTGGTTTTTTTTGAACGAAATCTGCGAGCATAACATGAGATTTCTAAGTGTTTTGGGGGAAAAAGTAAAATTAACGCAAAGTTATCATTATCATGTGTCTATTTTCATAGACGAACGGAGAAAGACCGAGGTTGTGATATAAGACAAGAGGGAAGAAGATAAACATCGTACAAGCACAAGCGAAGATAAGCAATGGAACGCCAGCGCCATGCCTTCGAATAATTACAGAGTGGAGTGAAGAAGCAGACAGCTTAGTTGTTGTAACTGTCAAGCACTCTTAGCGTGAGGCCTGTTCACGAACAGATGCGCCGCTAGCCCTCCACCAGACATCACCTCCCCACCTCATTAAGCGCTCAACAGCGGCCGTCGGTGTATCTAACGCAGGGCGGATATCAAGGTGGAAGACAGGCAGTCCGTGGGGATCTGGATCCCCAGAGTAGTAATCGATCACGTATCGAACTTCCTTCGGGCCCGAAGGTGTCTGGCGGACGACATACCAATCGTGACGGTCAAATGGAGGGCTTGTCCTGTTGGAATTGGAGTCAGCATTTTGCCTAGTGTAAATACCGTGAAGACAGTTCTTACTCAAACTTGCTTGGGTACGCCCAGCTCAGTGCCTGGTATATCTGTGCCTTAGGTGACCACTCTTGCGGCCGACCCTGGAACCGGAGTAGACGAGGCTCAGAGGTCGAATCGAATTTACCATTCTCGTCTGCATAGGTCAAGTCCATGCTCAGGTTTTCCTCGCCGCGGCGGCAGTGTTCCCATCCAGACTTGAGACCCTTGGCGAATACACGCTCCCATCCCACGATTTCGTCCCAGGCGCCTTCGTTCAGGAAGTTGTGCACTGCAACCATCGACTCCACCGCATCCTGGGGTGTGTCTGTGTGTCCTTTGCGCAGCATGGCGTTGTACATTTGTTGCGGGGACGGATACTCCCAGTTGCCTTCGCCATCGCCTCTTGGGATTGAAGAGCCTTCACGCTCAACAGGAAGGTCAACGGTTTGATTAGCGGCTCGCTCTTGGGAGATAGACGAGAACATGTAGTTCAGGGGATTAAGCTTTGAGAGGGTTGAGGGCTGCGCCGCGGTGTCGGTGGGTTGCTGCGGTGTTTGCGCCGGTGTTGATTTCGGGGCCGAATAAAAGGGAGAATCTTTCGATTTCATGGGGCAGCTGCTGGGGAGTTCAGTAGCAGGTGTTGGCGAGGGTGAAGCCTTCGAGCCCGATTCATGCATCGGGCATCCCGGCTTTAGATAAGAGTCAGTCTAGATGATCAAAGCTGTACAGTATACGCAAAACGAACCGGAGGAGATGCGTTTGAGGACGCATGTGGGATCGAGACTGCGGAAGCCTGCGGAGTGTCTGCCCAGAACCAACCCATTTTGAAGTATGAAGCAAATAAATTTTATGGTAAGATCCAAGGCGAAAGCGAACGCGATAAAAGACCGGAGAAAGCGGACTTTTTTTGATGACATAAAGCTGCCACGTGATAGGCCGAGCCTAGCTGTAAACAAGTCACATTGGTCTAGAGGGTTTTATACTTCATCTTTTGATATCTTTTTGGTTAGTTATGTTGTATATACTTCACGAAATATCTTTCTTTTGCAATTTTTTTCTCTTTTTGCATATTACTACTATTACTGCTGGTTTTGCCGTGCAAAATATACAAGTGCCCATAATTGAGAGCTAAGTAAGGGAGAGAGCACTCGTCCCAAGAAGAGATGAGAATTCCAATTCCTCCGACTCGGATATCACAAACCCAGTCATCGCTTCGTCCCAGATAGAGCGCCAATTCAAGCTGTCCAAAGCTGCAACAAAGAAAAAATCGCCCATAAGTTTCGAAATTTGCTCCCACGACTGCCATCCACATATCATTGCGACACGGGCCAGCCGTTCCACAAACCATTGTCTTTCAGGCTGTCCTAGGGCACCTTGGGCTCCGACGAACAATGCCCAAACATAAAGTCCAAAGTTTTGATTTGGTAATCCCACAAGAAGAGACAATTTGTAGCTATCCAACGCTGTCTTGAGGTGTTTCGTAAGGGCTCGACCCAACCCAGATGATGAAGGCGAGACAATCAGAAAATGATTGAGATAACAAATAGAAGCCACTCGAGTGACTGCTTCAATCGGATGAAGATTGGGCTCTGGATTGGGGGAACCTTCTGCATAGATATAGCTGAGAAGTTGATGCTCTGCTTCGCAGTTGAGGATGCGGAAAAAGTCTTGGTCACCAGGTTTAATCACTGTAGGATTTGTCTGATAAGTGATGCTAAAGAATACCATGTCACGAAGCACGCTTATAATTTTCAATAAGGAGGGACTGAGGAATGTATTGGCAGAAAATCCCGTGCCTAGTCTGTTGAGAGGAGACGAAGCCAGTGGTCTGATTCGCTGTTGGATCTCCGAAGGGATTGGCTGTGCATCCCAAGTTAATGGAAAAACAGGTCTGGTCATTAGGCCCGAGGCGGCTTTGATGTCGGTTCTATCTCATCAACCGTAAGCGGAACTCAGTAGAGAGGTGAGCCGAAAACACACGTACGTGATGATGGCAGACAACATAGAGGAAGAACGAATACTCTCATCTGTTATTCCACCTCGCAGATCAACCATACTTTTAAGCCCTGTTAAGTGAGTATGGACCTCGCTGAACTCTCCGATAATTAGCTGTGGGATGTTAGCAACACTGCAAGACTGCAACCCGAGATTCACGAACAGAATCCATACCGAGCCAGTGAGGAGGTTGATTATGGTATCAAACGCCTCATTGCTGAGTCTGCGACGCGGATCCCGTACTTTTGCGCTCATCTCTTGAATGGACTTTGCTCTCATCATACAATAGTCAGGGTCGTTGGTAAGCACCGAGTCCCAATTACCCGATCGCTGGCTTGCGAGAACGGCCCGATGGGCAGCGCACATGCTCATCAACCCAAAGAAACTACCCGGATCCGAGAATGAGGATCGAACCATTAGTTCCATCTCTTGGTTTGAATCTTTGCTCGTGTTCGGAAAAGTCATCGGTACAAATATGGTTTTCCCTTCGCCCTGTAGTCAGCTCTAGTTCTGGGGAGGCCCATGCAGCATGAACACCTAAAACGACCAGAACAATTGAAAACGCTGAATGAGTAATACTTACAATAGTACACCAAGCGGGCAACCATCGAAGGAAGCTCACTGGTACCGGGCAGCGTAAAGAAAGGATCAAGAAACCATGATGTAGGTGGATTAGGATTTGAATGGAGAGGCAAAGGATAACCAGCACACCACCTGACAGGACGCCCACGATAAATTGAGGTAAAACAGTCTCCAGAGTCTGTGTCTAGTAAGGAAGACGAAGCAGAGGAGTGAGGTGAAGCCCTCAACGTCAGTCTTTGTTCATTTGATTCATCAACGGCAGCCTTGGAAGCATCGGATTGCCCGCGATTCTGTCTGGAGGTTCGTTTCAACCCAGCGAGTCTCTCACGTCGGCGTACATCGCGCATAACATGAGAGCGAATAGCCTTGCGTGCATTGACATCTTTAATTCTCTTGGAGGTCAAGTCATCGTCGTGATCGATGAATGTAAAGGAAGGCCGATCCAGCGGCGCAGGTTTGGCCTTGGGTTCTAGTCGGGTACTTCAGTCCAAGCTCTTGACAATCGAGGGGGACCTCTTTGGTGCAATTCTAACGCTGCTGACTGATGGGGAAATATATAGACAAATACGAAACAAAGAGCAATATCACTCGAAATTGATGCGAATATGACCTCAAAACAGAGAAAAAAACCCAAAAAAGAGCCAACAGAATTCGGGGCTCAGTAAGGCCATGTTCCCCAGCCAATATCAAGTATATCAAAACTAGAAAGCACTGACCTGAATGGGTATGCCGAGGCGAACCAAAGGTGAAAGGCTGCAGATGATCCATCCGAAGGCCAAGGCAAGTTCGGAATGCAAAGGAAGAGAGGCAAAACACAGAAGACAAACCAATAAAGCAAGTGGATGGCAGACTATGCAGTTGGGTGAAGGCGGATTTAGAAGAGAAAAGGAGTGTAGTTACGCTGCCAATGCGGGGGGGCGAGCACAAGCCCGATTCAGCTCTAATCGTCTGGGATGATCCGGTGCTCAACGGTGTAACATATATTTGGAATAATAAAAGGTTCCTCATGTCCCTGGTTATACATAGAAAAGTCCGTCTGCACAAAGTATGCTTTTCCCCCCCTTTTTCTGCCGTCTAGCTAACAAACTGAGAAGGGGGAGACAATATCTATGAAAGCAGACATCTGAAAAGACTAACTGAGAAGAATCCGAAAAGACCACCAAAAACGACCACCAAAAAAGACATCTACAAAGACATCTAAAAGACCATCTGAGAAGACTACCATAAAAGACTACCAAAAAGACTACCAAAAAGACTCGACACGGCCGCCCAAGCGGCCGACTATTCTTGTATTCAATAACTCTGGACTTCATTGTCTTGGAGAAACCCCCCTTCCCCCCCCCCCCAGGGCACCCGAATAATGCTTGCGAACCCGCTAAGGACAGGACAACGACAACAACAACAAAAAAAAAAAAAAAAAAGCCTAGGTTAAAAAATGAAGACAAAGGGTATTCTAACATATTAAAAAAAAAAAACCAGTTCAGCCTCATGCTCGCATATCACTCAATAGTCGTGAGATCAGTGCATAGCCAAAGAAGACAGCAACACAGATCCAGATTCGGTTTCGTCCGGCCCAGCCTTGACCAGCCTCTCTCGCAACGTGTCCACCGTCCACGACAGAACCAATTCCAGGAGCACTACCATTGGGTCGTCGGCGTAAAGCACTTGTCTCTGGGGAACACTTGGTGGGCGCATCGGGATCAGGCAAAATCTGGCCGGTGGTGGAATCAATGCGATGCTCTTTCATCCAAGCCCAATTTTCCTGGTTGAGTTCAGGCCATTCTGTGCGGAACTTCAAGCCTCCATCTCCCGCCTTGACGTTGTTGATACCCTTAGAAGTTCGAGTGACGCCGGCAGTGGCGCTGACATGAGAACCTCCTCCGGTCGAGTTCCACCACCGAGATCGCGCGGCAAGCACTCTGCGCTCACTTTCTGAACCACTGACACTTCCCGTGGTCATTTCTTCACTGGTCATGAAAGAGAGAAGACCGATGAGAATGGTCGAGACTTCCCAGGCGGGATTGAAGGATTTCGGGTGGAAGTCACTGATGCTTAGACAGAGTCGAGTGGAAGGTTGGAATCGGCCACTGGGTGTGTGCATACGGATGGCGGGAGGAGCGAATGGGTACTCGGGAGGGAATATCAATGTACCCCAATACTGTCCATTTTCATAAGGAGTCCCCGGAGGCCCAGTAAGGATGTAATGCCATCTAGCGCAGGTTAGCATGGGAGTGCTGCGGCAAGGCGGCAATGCGAGGGGATGTATATCACTTACTCAAGGATGTTGGTCTCAGATGGATGGGTCACAATAAATGGTGTGGGATCTTTTTGGATATTTTGGTATTCACGAGTGAGCTATAGTGAGTATTGTTAGACACTATCCATGGATAACCGATTGGCCTGAGGTCTGGCCACTTACCCGTTTGAAAGCCGCTTTTGTCGCCATCTTTGGTGATATGAGCAGAAGCAAGAGACTTCACAAAGCAAAACAGGAGGACAACTCGGGTATTTTATGAGCACCGAGAAAACGAAACCTAGGAAAGAAAATGAACAGTGAAAGAAGTTGAGGAGTCAAAGGTGGATTGTCGCAATCAGGCGCTCACGTTCACCGGGTCACGTGCTGGTTCCATATCTTGCGGGTTCGGCACGCGCACCCCGATCTATTCCCCGGAGGCCGAAAGTTCTGGCCATTGCAGCCGCAAAAATGTCTTCCTCTTTTGCTGAAGGAGACGAGAGTGTTAGTACATATCTCAGGCAGCTTATGAACTGCCTGGATGCTTAGTTGACACTCTACTGACTTCTATTCGCTCCTAGGTCTTCGAGCGTTTGCAACAGCGAGCAGACCCCAAGGTGTTGGAAGAGCAACAGCAGGCCGTGAACGAGCGTATGCAAGCTATTTACCAAAAGGCCCAGAATCGACTTGCTGAATTGGTATGGACTTCATATCCTAGAAGCCGATGACAGGCAATTCGCATTTATTTGCGGAGTTCCCCGGCTGATCGCGAAATCTATTAGATCGACGAAAACTCGACCTTGCCGTGCACCATCTCCTCTGTTCAAGTCACCAGTGCCCCCCATACCCGACGAAGTTTCCTTGAGCGCAACTTGAGCCCGCTTTTGAGTGCAAACAAGGGTCGGCCCTATACACTGTCCGAAGCGTTGCGGGAAGTGTCGGCTACCGCAGATAAACTTGGACGTTTCGGTATGAGATGACGGGATAATAATAATGATGGGTGCCTACTAACATCATTTCAGATATATTCCACCAGCCTATTTCGGTCTACTTGGATGAGTCGCAAGGCCAAAATGGCATGCGCAACATCGATGTCCATCTGGCGACGCGGGAGAAGTCCCGCGTGCTGATGAAGACTGGAACAGACTTGGGAAATGCTGAGGGCTCAGCCTACGGTAATCTTCTCTGGCGCAATGTCTTTGGTGGCGCCGAGACTTTGAACTTGAACGCTTCGCTCGGTACCCGCACACGGTCCGCTTACCAGGCTGCATTCGAGACTCCGATTTTGGGTGATCCCGATTTCCGCCTAGAAATTGGCGGTATTGCAAGCTCTACCCAGAAGTCTTGGGCAAGCCACGAAGAGGTTCTCAAGGGTGGCTGGAGCAAGCTCCGATGGATGTCCAAATCAGGCCACCGTCACGAATTTGGATACAACGGTTTCTGGAGACAGCTTACTGGCCTTGCGGAGAACGCCTCCCCTACAGTCCGCGCAGACGCAGGTGACAGCGTGAAGAGCAGCATTTTCCATAGCTGGGTTAATGATCAACGGGACAATGCCCTTCTGCCATCTCGTGGTTACTATGCCAAAGCCTTCAACGAGCTGGCTGGATTTGGCCCGCTCAAGGGCGACGTCTCTTTCTGGAAATCGGAAATTGAGACACAAGGTGCCATCCCTATTCCGATCCCAGGAATCAAGGGTGACAGCGGCGTCAGCCTCACCACTGGATTCCGTGCCGGTCTTCTCTACCCTCTTGGACTGGAGTCCAACCCCCGCCCTCAACTTTCCCGTGTCAATGACCGCTTCCAGCTTGGAGGACCTACTGATGTCCGTGGATTCCGCCTCTGCGGTCTCGGTCCTCGGGAGGGCGTTGATTCACTAGGCGGTGATGTGTACGCCGCCGGAAGCGCCAATCTGCTGTTCCCGCTTCCCCGACTTGGTGCTGAGAAACCCGTGCGGTTCCAGGCCTTCTTGAACGGTGGCCGCTTGCTTTCTCTGCAAACCTCACAGAAAGGCACTCCTACTACTAATGGCGAGGTGCAGGATGCCTTAGGCTCAACTCTCTCTGAACTACAAAGCGGACTGCCTAGTGTCGCAGCTGGCTTCGGTATTGTGTATGCTCACCCTGTCGCTCGCTTCGAGCTCAACTTCTCCTTGCCACTGGCGTTGCGAAAGGGCGAAGAAGGCCGCAAAGGGCTCCAGCTGGGTATCGGTATCAATTTCCTGTAAACATTGCCAAGTAGATTCCTTACGGGTTCAACCATACCTTATACATTGTTTTACCAATTCCAATCAAGCTTAGATTAATGTTGCCATTAAGACATCGTCTACCCTACATTTGAATGTACTAACTAGTTCACTAGTTCGTACCTAGGTACATATGTAGTTTGCTGGGCCCGGGCCCCGGGCCGATTGACGCTTAGTCATCCAACATCATTGAGGCCATTTGGAGCTTTGAAGCTCTACAACAATCTACACCTTAGCCAGTCGCTACTCTCCAAGAACCCCAAGCACGTCCTACGTCAGAACAGGAACTATCGTTCTTCCGCTCTTTACGCCGTCAGTCGCGGCAATGGCCCAATACTATCCACAACAGCAGGGCTACGCCCCCCAGGGCTCCGCACCACAGAATCTCCAGTTCTTCCCCTCGTCCTACTCCTCGGTTTCCGGTCACACAACCCCCTCACAAGCATCTTATGGTGCCGGATTTGGCGGAGCTCCCAATCCCTCCACGCAGGCTTACCCTGCCGGTAGTGGGTATGGGGGCTTTGGGTCCCCGGCCGCTGGCGTCAGTGGACGGATGGGCGAACAGGGCGGCCTGAGGACCGGTTGGTTGGCTGCATTTGGGACGGAGGGGTATGATGGTGAACCACCGTTGCTTGAGGAGTTGGGCGTCAACTTTGAACATATTCGGACAAAGGTTAGTGTGGATTGATTTTATATTAGGCGCGTTCAGCAGACGTGGGGTCTGGGTCTTGCGGGTGGCTTGTTTTTTTACCCCGGGTTTAATTGGATTGTAGTTCTGCTCAGCAGTGAATGCCTCAACATTGGATTCTGACGGTTTCATTCTCTAGACTCTGACTGTTCTGAATCCCTTCGCCTCTATCGATAATCACCTTATGGATGATAGCGATCTCTACGGAGCTTTGCTCTACATCGTCCTGTATGGCACTTTCCTTCTCCTCTCAGGCAAGGTGTTCTACGGCTATATCTACGGCGTCGCCGTTTTCGGCACCGTCGCTTTGCATCTGATCCTCAGCCTCATGTCTCCCGCTCTCGACACCGTCCCAACTCCCAACGCCGCCGACCCTACCAACTACAACCCCCACCACAAACCCTCCATGTCCGGTGCCTCGGCCGCGGGCCACTTCTCTGCTACTCTGACCTTCCCGCGCTCCGCTAGCGTGTTGGGCTACTGCTTCCTTCCTTTGGTGCTTACCAGTCTCATTGGTATCCTGATTCCCATGGACACCATGTTCGGTTATCTCCTGACCATTGCCGCTGTTGGCTGGTGCACATACAGTTCGTCGGGGATGTTCTGCGCTGTGGCACGCATGAGTGGCATGAGGGGTCTCGTGGCATATCCGTTGGCTCTGTTCTATGTCGTTTTTGGAATTATGGGTATCTTCTCTTCGCGCGGCACCGGCTCGCTGGCCGCGAAGACGGGTGCGGCTTGAAAAGGTTGGGCTTTGGTTGATACACGTTCTCTGTCTATGCATTGCATGGATGGTCCCTTAGGCTAGTGGCTGCGATGTCTAGGGTCTTAATTTTAGGCCAGCCTTTGCATCTTAATCATGACTATTATGAAATTCCAGCTGTGTTTATACATCATTCATTATGCATTATTAGGTTCGTCTGTCTTCTCAATGGTAAGCTTTGTAGTCCTTCACTTGATGCAAAACAAGCCCATGTTCTCACATCAAATCATATCTAAATAAACACCTAGAAGGATCATGTACTCGTTGCGCCCTGAGTTGGTGCCCATTTAGATAGCCACTCTCTCGCCTTCTCCAAATCGCCACCCGCGGCTTCGGCTGCTGCAATACACCATGGTAGATCATAAACTTTGTCATTCCCTTCAGTGCTCTCTGCTGCAATCAACTCTGCGAGATTGCGACGGTGTTGACTTGTTTCATCAGCACAGAGGTATAAAGGCGCCGTGTTAGGCACATCCGGCTGGGTGTTGAGAGCTTCGACAAGAGGTCGTGTCAACTTCATGATTTCCACCACACTCATCGCGGCTGGAGGAGCAGAGGCAGGCGCCATTTTCTGTTTTGCCGTTTTGCAATACTCATTCTGGCACCAGGGCTTGCCACATCCGGTCATCATCTGAGAGAGATATCGGCGTTCAATGCGACGACGCAGTGCTTTGCCCTCTGGATCGTGCGTGTCCACATAGAGCGGTCCAAAACAGAAACTGCAGAGGCCAACAGACTCATTTCCGGCTTTGTTCAATGTCCTGCCGCAATTTCTGTTCATGCATATACGCGGTGCGGGTCGAGAAAAGCGCTCCAGGTCATGGTGACGAAGATGGGTGTTCATGTCTCGTAATCGGATAATCTTATTACACAGATGGCATTCGGTGGTGCGCCCTCCATCTACCAGTTCGTGCGGAGTGAGGCCGGAGAGCATAACCTCGGGGTCGCGGAAATCTGGGTCAGAATCGCCTTTCTGTGGCACGAGAAGATGGCAGAATTGACAGAGAATCAACTTTCCAGGACAATCTGTAGTACGATGTTGCGCAAGACTAGGGAGTCCTTCAAAATCCCCGGCACAGTCTGTGCATTTGTGTGTTTGGTGAAAGATAGCGTCATGTTTTTCTTTGCTTGGGGCATCATTGCCATGGCCGGAGTCGTGTGGACAGTGCCAGTGGTCTTGCCACTCTGGAGACCGCTTTTGGAAGACATTCTGGCACTGTGGACATAATATATTATTGCGGAGACAGAAGTTCTCGTGGAGAACTAGTGTCCGTTCAGGAACCCATTGTTGACAGTTCTTACACTGCACATCGCCAGGCTCATGGGACGCTTTCGTCTCATTATGATTGACCGATGAGTCCAATAGATTCACTGTGATCCGCAGGTGGTATTGCGATGGTGACTGCTGCTGTGGATCAGACGATTCACTGCTTACAGGGTCGGCGTGAACTGCTATATAGAGGGCCTCGGCGTCTTCTAGAACCACATTTGTAGGCCGAAGATCGAATTTCTTGGGCGATTGGCTCGAGAAATCCCCCAAGGCATGCATGTCTGATCTCGGACGACTTCTTTGGCGAGTAGAAAAGGGACTAGCAAAAAGACTCACTTCCGGGTTGTCCGTAGTAAGCTCAATCTGAATAGTGTCCTGGCGGTTCCAATCTCGAAGCTCATAATCCACATATTCCCCAGGCAATACTTGGGCAGTGACATCTTCTCCAATGCTGAGGATACCACCGATCGAACTGCCGCTAGTTGTACCCGGCGCACGTGAAGCCTTTTCCAATCTCTTCTGTAGCGTTTCTCGGGCCTGTTCCTCTGACAATGCGACAATGTCAACTTCAAGATCTGTATCCACCACGCATATTCCTTCGCCTTCGGGAAACACCTTATCCACCAAGAACCTGAATGACTCGGTACGGGTACCCGGGACTGTCAGAAGCTCGCCCGTCGTGAGGGTCGTAAAGTTGTCCCGCAAGTATCTTTCCAGAAGAGCCTTCCAGTCTTCAGGATCGTATCCGGCTTCCAGCGGACGGAGGCGAACATAGGTGCCCTTGGGTAGTTGCTTCGCATGTACTGTGACCGCAGGGCCAGTCCGTGGTGAGGATTCCCTTTCTATTTGGGGCCCCGCCAGGTCTCGTGGTTCGCCATTTTCGCTCAAGAATTCTTCATCCTTGATATCGAGTGAGTCTCTGAGCAATGTACTCAGTGCGACTTCATTTTCTTCAGCGGAGAACTCCCGAATGCCCGCATAGATGAACCGGCCATTCAGAGGATTGACAATACGGAAGATTAACGGGTGAGGTAGTTGCTGCTGACGTTGCTCGACCTCTTGGCGGGCACGCGATTCGGCGGCGAAGGTATGGTGGTTGAAGGGATCGAATGACGAAGTAAGTATACGAGAATTCCCGGAGGGGACAGCTTGAAGCGGAGCGGCGGCTAGCAGCTGTTCGAGCGCAGATTGCGGTAGAGTGATTTTGTCGCCGGTTAGTCGAGGCGCCCGCTCTGGCGATGCGACGAGTAGCTGGGATGACCAGACTAAAGTATCTTGAGCCATGATGGATATTGATAATCATTGGAGAGAGAATGGCATTCTTTAATATGAATATTCCAAGGCGGCGGGAACAGACAGCAATAGCGGCAAAGGCGACAAAAGTCTATTCTCCATACTTTAAGTCCACCGCTTCTCTCTCCGCCTATTGTATAGCCGATGGGGGAGTTGATAGATCTTCTCTTGTCTGTCATTCTTTTGGCTATTTTTTATGAATGATGTAAATAATGTAAATAATGCATATCATGGCTTTATACTTCTTAGCTTCCACCTTGATAATATATATATCTATACACCTTTATGTATGAATTACAATACACCTAGTATATCTACAATTCTGCCTGACAAAAGCCGGGTTTTGTCAAATCTGCCGCTATTCCTAACCGCACTGCCGATAAGAGATAAGAGATTCAATTCTGGAAGCCTCCACGCTTGATACTTCGCTTTAAAATCAAGTTAATGTACATATGCGATAATTTGACGTGCTGATTACCAATATAAGAAAATTTGGGCCTAAATTCAAATTTAATAGAAGTCGCCACGCATTCGGCCGCGAGCACTGGTATTGCACCAGTCACACTGCACAACGTTAGTATACGCTCTCATTCAATCAGGGGGCCTTCGGTTGGTGAAAGACACGTACCAGTGTCTTCGAGCATCCTTCATTGTGCTGAATGCAATAATCACCCTGGCAGCCTTTGCATGTGTGCTGGCATTCCAGCTTACAGGAAGCACACTATTATCGTTAGAAGGAAGCGACATCCTAAAGCCGGAGGAGTTACTCACAGTTGGGCCACATTCCCAGCAGTCTTTGCTTACACCTCGTTCCAATCTCTGCATGGCAAGAATCAGTAACATGGACGGTTGGTGGGGGCAGATTCCAATTTCAACATACCTCACGTTCTTGCAGTTCAGCGGCACTGGCGTGGACTGCAGTCTGATGCGGGGACAGGCTTACTCGGACAGGCTGCGGGTTTGGTAGACAGTTTCCACAGAACCATTTATTGCACCGATGGCACCAACAGTTGGTGAGGCAGTCTGCGCAGCGGGCAATGATGACCGGATGCTCGCCTGGAATTAGCTCGGGCCGTTTCGCCGCTGCAACGCTAGATGAGTGCAATGGCGGGGGGCTAAGCATCGGAAAGTGAATATCTGGGGATTGGCTCCAAATAGCCGGACCTTCGGGGGAACTGTGGCATCCGTCACATCCGCGAGGTCCGAGGGCTATGGTGGCCACGGCAGGTCCGAGCAACGGAACCTCAGCTGGGGTGCCCTCCTCCGTGGTCGAACTGTATAGATTGGGATCATGTCTCGGGCCACGACAAAGAGCAGCATCAAAGGCAATGATGCCCTCACATTTCTTAAGCACCTGGGCCCAACCTTCCTCAAGGGTGTGCTTGAAAAGCTTCCCTGATGCGCTGTACCACTCATTTTGCTGCTCTACCGAGCATCCCACAGAGGTCCCGTCCTCCTGATCAGAGTTAGATGGGGTTTGGCAGGGTGTCCGCGAAGTTCCCACACGGGTTCCCCACCAGTCTCGGTATCGGGGCCGTGCCACTGCCCGAGGTCCCGTGTGCATGGGAGAGAAATGGTAAATACCCTTCACTCGCGGCGTACCCACAGGGCGTGTAGGCCGAACGGCATGCTGGATGACCTGCATGAGCTTACGTTCGTTGAGATGGCGACATTCGCGAATAGACAGGATATTGACGTTAAAGCGATTCGTCAAAATGATGTCGGCCACTAGATCAGCCGGCACTGATACCCCGTCCAAGATGAGAGTGCGCACATCTTGCAGTATACCTCTGCGCTCGAGGCTCGTAAAAATACGCTTCAATGGGGCGGAGTAGATCTCGTCCTCCGTCTGGGAGTCGTTCTCCGCTTGTGTTACTGTAGAGAGTTCTGCGCCCCGACAGCGGGACAGATCAAGATGCCGGAATACATATGGCGTCTGAGTGATCACGGTGTGTAGGCGGCGTGAAGTTGAGCTCAACGTCATCAACGAGGATACTGATAGATATGGGGCCATCTGGTCGAGGATCAAGCTATTGCTCAGGACATCCTCTAGTCCCGTTCGGTGAGGGGGCGCGGGTGCTATATATTGCACCTTTGGTACTACCCGTTCGGTGGGTAGTTCGCGCACGACGGGCTCCAGGCCGAGTTCCTTCAGCGTCAAGCGGCGAGACCCGTAAAAATCGGGGGCGCGGCCGATGAGATCCCGCCTGTAGGCAGTCATAGCGCCTACAGCGACCTCATCAACCCGGAATCCAAAGGGCGAGGCATTGGGTTGGATATCCCGGAGGGCAGCGCGGGCTTTGACCAGCTCACTTTCCAGGAGATTGATTGTTGATTGTAAGACGGCAGGCATGGCTTCAGTTCTCTTAGGGTCAATGGCAAAGGCTATAGAAGACCACAAGTCGGACATAGTCCGGTAGATTTATAGTGCCAGGGGAATGGGAAATTCAATAAGATTGGGAAAGTATAGAAAAGGTGGGGAAAAGGGGAAAGGAAATAGTTTAAATGAACAGGGTCGGATAAATACAATCTTGGAATTGTCTGATCATTCAGATATTTAAAAAAAAAAAAAAAAAAGGAAAGGGAAGTACACGGAGTATAAGGAAGTATAGAACCAATGGAGCTGTGGAGTTGTGGAGATGTGGAACAGAAAAATGGAAGATTCCATTTTGGGAAAGGGAATATTATATATATTTATATATTTATATATTTATATTATATTATATTATATCCTAATTCGATTGAGTAAAAAGAGAGATAACACTCCTGGGCTTGGAACCAAACCGTAAATGGATTGTCGGTCAACCTTGGAATGACGGTCAGCTCCAGATTCAGTTCCACGGAGGTACATATGTACATAGTTATATGGGTATACACATAAAACATATACTAAATACAATCTCACTCTTCAAGAATTCCATATATCCTTAAACATATCATGATTTTCAACTCTAATCTTCTACAATCATGTCTTGGCCGCGCAAGGGAGATAGAGTTAACAAGAAGTACAAGTTACTCTAAAATACTTCAAAGCGGAAGTGCTGGATACTTCCCCAAAGTATGGGGTGAACCTAAGTGGATCCAGTATCTGGGACAAGGGGTTCAGGTACCTCGACAGTCCAAAGTACATTGGCGCTAGTCCAGGACGTTGGGAAATGATCGGTTGGTCACGCGCAAGTCCGCGTCAGTCTAAACCGGCAAGGGGAGAAATGCGTCCAATGGTTTGAATACTCTATATTACCCGATATATACTACATGTGTACTATATATATATATGTACTTTATAGTGATTCACACCTAGCTCTTGATTCAACCAATATACACTCCTATACTGATACATTCTCAGTCCAGAGCGTACAATATACCACATGCACTCTATCCTATATACATTCTCAGAGATACGTTTGGGGTTTTAACCTGCCAAGACAATAGTCAGATCCCTGAATTCCGCGCCAAGGCCAATTGAGAACATCTCTGATCTACACGGTCCGCAGCATCATGCCAAGCCTTCACTCGAGGAGCCACTTTGTAGGTACTACATATTCCGTACTAACTAGTGCAGAGTAAGCAACTGCGTTTTATGGGCAATTCGAGATAAGCTGAAGCTGCCAAGCCCTGTGATGCAGATTCTCCTTTTTCTTCGCTAGTTGAGAAAAAAAAATGTATCACTTTTTGGGTCTCCTTGCACGTCACATCAGACCAATCCCATACCCAGTACAAGATAGATGGCTGATCTACTACATGTATGTGGACGGAGAGTATGCACCGAGGCCAAGCAGGCATCCCCCAAAGAGGTTGCCAAGGAATAGTTACACCTCTACTCCGTACACATTACCCGAAATAGGTCCGATCCAGACACGTCGCACAATTATGCATTCACTTGGGGTGAGAATTATCAGGGTAGGATTAGAACTAGTGATACAATGTCGTCGATCGTTCCTCAAGCCCCGGGATCCACCCCCCGCTTTCGAGAGGCCTCTACTTCCACAGCTTCGACACGGCCACCTCCTTGTCATCGTGCTTGTTGAGAATCTTGGCGGTGGCCAGGTCAAAGTCTTCTTGTGTGACATGAACCCGACGCTCGCGGAGTGCATACATGCCTGCCTCCGTGCAGACACCCTTGAGCTCGGCTCCAGAGCACCCGTTCATCTTCTCGGCAATCTTGTTCAGGTTGATCCCACGGGTCAGGTTCATCGACCGAGAGTGGATCCGCAAAATGTCGGCACGAGCTTCGACCCTACAAAAAAAAAAAGTAAAGTTAGCAGAAAGAAAGGGGGAAAAAGAACAAGCACCATAAATCACTCGGGGGCAAGGGGGGTAGACTGACGATGGAGGGGGAATTCGATCTTTCGATCAATTCGCCCAGGCCGAAGTAGGGCCGGATCCAGAATATCCAGTCGGTTTGTCGCCATGATAATCTTAATGTTCTTCGTTGGCTCGAAGCCGTCCAACTGGTTCAACAACTCCAGCATGGTACGCTGCACCTCCGAGTCACCACCTCCTGATGAATCTATCCGGCTTGATCCAATACTGTCAATCTCATCCATGAAGATGATACTTGGTGCGTGCTCTCGTGCCATGACGAAAAGCTCACGCACCATCCGACTACCCTCACCGATGTATTTCTGCACCAGTTCTGAACCACTCACTCGGATGAATCGACAGTCGGTATGGTGAGCGGCTGCTCGAGCAAGCAGGGTCTTGCCGGTTCCGGGTGGGCCGTAAAGCAAGACACCCTTCGGCTGTGCAATACCCAGAGATTCGAAGAGCTCGGGGTGCTTGAGACCAAGCTCGATAACTTCTTTGATCTCCTTGATTTGCTGGTCTAGGCCACCAATCATGTCGTAAGTGCTGTCGGGGACTTTCTCAACCATCATGAGTGCAACCAGAGGATCGACCGAGGACGGCAACATCTTCTCCAGCTTGTACGAATCAGACAGGAGAGCGACTCGCTTTCCGACAACGAGTTTGCTAATGTCCACACCATCGGAGATATCCACCACTGCGATCAAGGAAATCATAGCGTTAGCGTAAGCCCGGTCATCAAAAGCCAAGACGATTGGAATGGACGAAGCCTACCGTATTTTCCTTCTGGGTGTACTTTCACCAGGACCTTCTTGGTGCTCATCACCTTCACCACCTCGCCAACGTAAGAGCCGGGTTGTTGCAACAAGCCAAGCTCTTCGCGCAGTAGACGGACTCTCGAGTTGTAGTCATTGCGCTGCGCTTCTAATCGTCGTAGAACGGCCTGGCCTTGAATAATCTCGAGCTTCATGCCCTCAATTTTATTGCGATAGTAGTTGTCCAGAGCCATGATGGCGAATGGGGTGATGACGCTATGGAAACTCAAGGGCTATCTGTCTTCCACAGAACACAGATGCAATAAAGAAAAAGACCTTTATCTTCCTATTCAGAAGATGGTAAATCGAGAATTCGTCAGGGGATGGGATGTAGCTCGGGAGCAGAAACGGAGAAGTTGAAGCTGGGGTTTGGCGAGCAGAGCAGTCCAGCTGTACGTGAAGCTCAGGTCCGGTGCCCGTTCAGTTGTGCTGACTAAGAGACAAAAAATATTTAGCCTGAAATGTCAGGATAATAAATTAAGGCAAACAATCCAAACACCTGGCTTTGTTTTCATGGATGAGACTTCGGAAGCTCCCCACCCCAATGAGTCATCTGTGGATCTGATTGGGCGGTCAAGCCTTGGAGCTGCCCAGGTGGGCTAATGATCGGGTCATCTGCAATGCGAGAAAGTACGGGAAGGTAACGGTCAAAGAGCAATCTCTCCCCTTTGACATACTCTTCTTCCACGAGTTTCGTCCTACCTGGACCTGCAATGATCTATATGCATCTCAACTAATGAAACTTTCATTGACAGTCTTGATTTCTGCGTTTCACCTAGATCTATTTGGTTCAATAATGTCACTGGGAACTTCGGTCTTATCGCTTTGACTTTTTTTCCCTCTCTTTCTTTGGGGACAACAAAGACAGCATAAAAGAGAGAAAAGACCCCGTGTCTTTGAAATTTTCTCTCTTCCTCGTTTCTTCTGCTTCTGAAGTTCACTGTGTGCTTGTCAAATCACTGGGTCATGGCTGGTGATAAAGGAAACCCTGACTCTTCCGAGTCCACGCAGCCATCTGCGGCGGCGGGAACGGAAACACCGACTTCTGGACCAGTGCCTCCAATCAGATCATCTACCTCCGCGCGGAGAACATACGGTAAGCTTGCCTTTGGTGTAACCTACGACAATGACGGCTTGGGCTGATCCAAAATTGCAGGTACACTCGATTCATCCTCCCTTGAGGCAGCCAATCCCGAACTACGTGATGATGGCCAAGAGGAGAGTTCGACTCGCGCATTCACGACCCAATCGTCCGCTGTCCCTGATAAACCCCGAAAGCCCTCGGTATCGCGTCGCATGTCTTCCAAACGTCAAATCCTCCACAGGGGGCAAGGGTTTTCGACAGACGATGATGTCAATGAGGTCAAGCAATATATGACAATGAAACAAGGCGCGAACACGCAACAATCCCCTAGGATTCGTCCACTACGAACGGAAAGCTCGACCTTGAGACGACGTCCCAGTGCTCGTCCCAGACCCTTGGCGAGAGACGATTCGGAGGGTTACAACGCAGACGAAACAGGCTTGCCTGAACCGGGTCTGGATTATGAAGAAGACTTCCCTTCTTTGAAACAGGCCGGGCATAGCAGCGGAGAGGAAAGTGAGGACGGCGAGGAGGAGGATGGCATGGAAGACGATGAAGACGCAGCCAGCGATGCTGAGAGCTTCACACTCAAAGACCGTCAACAGGCCATCAACGAAACACATCCGTTCGGTATCAGGATCTGGAAGCCTGCGTTGTACAAGAAGAGCCGTTCTGTGGAGAAGACGGCTGAGGGTGATATCCACTCATCTCCGGGAGGCTATGTCAGTCCCATGCTCTTTTTGACCAATCTACTATGGTCTTTGTTTTTTGGATGGTGGCTTGCCCTTTTCGCTCTGTTGGCCGCAGTCGCATGCTTTTTCTTTTCCTACTCATCCAGTGCTGTGGCATACGGAAGAGTATTTGCAGGTCTTTCACGATATCTATTGTACCCGTTCGGATCATATGTTCTTTTGGAGACTGATGAGAATTATGCTGAAGAAGATGAGGGCGAAGGACGCAGTATCAGCGAATATGAGCAGTGGCAGAATGGCGACCTGGAACATGGTCGTCTTTTCTTCGGGCCTCGCAGAGATCGGTCCCTGGTCGGTAGACGGAGGAACAGCGTCGATTCAGCCGGTGAGCAAGACAGCCTGCTCGGGCGGCCCCAGCGTGGACAACGCGAAGACTCTTCTCAGCTCGCTCAATCCAAGCGTCGCCTTTTTGGGCGGGGCGAATGGACCTTGGGTCGTGTCGTGTTCTTCGTGTTCTTCTACTTCTTAGTCGGCCCGCTGATGCTTATGGTATCGCTCGTCTGCTGGCTCTTGGTGTTTTGGATTCCCATGGGCCGTATAACGATTACACTTGTGAGCCATTTACGCAGACATCCGCTAGCACTGTCTTTCCATTCCGATTCCAGATATGCTAGATCGAGCACAACCACATCTTCGTCTTCCATCCTTCTTTGCACCTACAGAGCTGCGGGAACGAGGTACTGGAAGTACACTCTCGATGGAACGAACATCTTCCTGATCAACCTTCTTGGTGTGGTTGTGTTTGTGATTTTTGACTATCATGTTTTAGGCAAATTCTTGGGCTTGCAGAACTGGCTCACACATCCGGCCTTGATCTTCCCTCTCGCTCTGCTCTCCATCATTCCTCTGGCCTATTTCATTGGGCAAGCCGTTGCATCGATCTCCGCTCAATCTTCTATGGGCTTAGGTGCTGCCATCAATGCTTTCTTCTCAACTATCGTAGAAGTATACCTCTACTGTGTTGCTTTAACTGAGGGCAAGGCTCAGCTTGTCGAGGGTAGCATCATCGGCAGTATCTTTGTCGGCATTCTGTTCCTCCCTGGTTTGTCCATGTGCTTCGGTGCACTCAAACGCAAGACCCAACGGTTCAATGTGAAATCAGCCGGTGTGACCTCGACTATGTTGTTGTTTGCGGTGATTGCTGCTTTTGGTCCCACTCTCTTCTATCAGGTTTATGGCAGTGTAAGTTTCACCTTCCCTCGCAAACGAATCCAAACTGACTAGTGCATAGCATGAGTTGAACTGCCACTCGTGTGTCAGTTCCCTCGATCCGGAGACTCGAGATTGCCGTCGCTGTTATTTCTCACAAACAGCGGCTGTCGATGACCAGTTCTTTCAAAAGGCGGTACAGCCATATGCGTGGATCGCCGCTGTTTTCTTGTTCCTTTCATACGGCATCGGCCTATGGTTTACTCTTAGGACCCATGCTGCTCTTATCTGGGCATCAGAGATGGATGAAAAGAAGAATCCCCAGGCCCATGCCACCCAATCTGCCCAAGATTCGTTCTACGAACCACGGCACTTGCTGTTCCCAAATGGCCAACCCGAAGCCTCCGGTGCCGCTTCTGGGTCCAAAGATTCGATCCGCGAATCTCAGCTGTATAAGCGAATTCTAGGCCAGTCATTGAAGCATTTTGGCTTGGAGGATAATGGCTCGGGCAATTGGGAAGGGGTTGGAAGTGAAACTACCGCAGACCCCAGAAGCAATTTCCCGCACTTGGTGCCCCCCAATTCTAGCGGCGAGGACAATTGCCCTGTGCCAAAGTTTGTCCGTAGTATGGCGAAAGAAGACAACGAGCGTCTAGTACGCCAGTTCACAGAAGTGGCAGCAACGGCAGCAACAGTGGCTGCTCGGGATGCGGGTCGAAGTCGCAAGCCCAATGCCCAACACCATCATGCTTCTGTTCGTCAAGCTAGCCGCCCCGCTCCGGAGCGATCACGAACTACTGCTGGGGAAGAGCTTGAAGATCTCGGGTTGATTGTGGAGCCCACTCATGCTAGCGGAGGACATGATGCACCCAATTGGAGCAAAGCTAAAAGCTCCATCATTCTTCTTGGGGCAACTGTCCTCTATGCGGTGATTGCTGAGATTCTTGTCAACACAGTTGATGTTGTGCTAGAGAGCGTGGATATTGATGAGAAATTCCTCGGCATTACTCTTTTTGCGCTGGTACCAAATACGACGGAGTTCCTGGTACGTTGGTTATTAAAGGCTCTATCGGAGGCAATTTTACATTTTATATTGTTAACTAACACACTCAACAGAACGCCATCTCATTTGCCATGAACGGAAACATTGCATTGTCTATGGAAATTGGATCTGCCTACGCACTGCAGGTCTGTCTATTACAGATTCCCGCTGTAGTATTCTTCAGCGCTTTCTATGGCCGCTCGCTGGATCCATCTGAGCTTGTCAGCCACTCATTCAAGTAAGATCGCATTCTTTTTTTTTTTTTTGTCTCCAATCGAAGTGCTATGGCTGACAAAATATTTCGATAGCCTGATATTCCCGCAGTGGGATATGATTACCGTTATCATGTGTGTCTTCCTTCTCTCACATGTATACGGCGAAGGAAAGAGCAACTACTTCAAGGGATCCATCCTTGTACTCACCTACCTCGTCGTTCTGCTTGGCTTCCATATGTCGGGCTATGTGAACATGGACAGCATGGGCGTGGATCGCTTTGATACCCTGGCTATAGGCGGCACCAGTAGTTCTGACAAGTTCTACACTGTCGGCCGAACAAGAGGCGGGGTGGCCTACTAGACAAAGTGCACATATTGACTGGTGATAGTTGCTTTTCAGCACAAGGCATTCATTGACTTGTCTGAATTAATGTTGCATAGCGAGCTTCTTTTTTTTTCGGATTTTTGTTTATATGCTTGACGTTTATATGGAGTGCGTGACTTATGTTCTTCCAATGTTGACTTTCCTGATGACCTGAGCTCTATAGCTCGATGCATTAGGCATGGTTTTGCATTCATTTTGAGATCGTTATCTGAGCTTCATCTCTCATACTTTTTATTATGCGGTAATGACTGATGCCAAGTATGCCCGAACAAGATTATATGTAGATCATGAACAACATTCCAGTATCCATGTTCTTTTTTTTTTGTAATGGAAGAAAATAAAAATCGTTGCGATCGTCACATCAAATTAGGTGGACTTAGACTTCCAGGCCCTCACGGCGTCATCCACCATCCCACGGTATTTCTGTTGCTTGAAGCACTGTTCCAGAAAGACCTCATACTTGACACTGAGCAAGGCTTTCTCGTCCTTATCTTCTGTCGGCAACACCTTCTTGCCAGGCTTGCTCATCCGAGCCATGATATCCCATAGATCTTCAGTTTTGCCCTGGGAATCAGCGCTGGCAGCCTTGGCTCCGAGCATAGCAGCACCATGGCATACCGCAGCATGAATGTACCGAGGAATCAGCACAGGCATGTCGCAGGCAGATGCAACGAGGTTGACCAGGATATCATTCTGGCATTGTGAGCCGGACATGAACACCGAGGTGATGCGGTGGCCTGCCTTGTTCATTGTCTCTACAATCTGCTTGGTTTGCAGCGCAATGAACTCCATAGTGGCGTAGTAGTAAATGGCAAGACCATCCACAGATTTGTCACTGGTTAGGCCAAAGATGGATCCAGTCATGTTGGGATCGGCAATTGGAGAGCGGTTGCCCCATAGATCACCATAGAAGAAAAAGTGGCGTCCGAGATAGGATACACATGGGGCTCCTTGGCCATGTGCCATCTCTTTGAGATGCTCGTTCAGATATTCGTAGATGTTGGAATTGTATGACTCGGCAATCGAAGTAGCCTGGTTGAATGCCGGGTGGGTCTCAATTACATGCTTAAGCAATTCTCCTGTAGCGGATTGCCCACCCTCGGCCATCCAGTATCCGGGAAGGATGGTATCCCGATATGGACCCCACACACCATCAACAAAAACCGGGTCTGGTGACATGGCAAGGTGACATGTCGAGGTTCCCGCGACAGCCGCGAGACGAGAGAAGGCCTCTGATCTATCAAGCTTAGGAATATCTGCGCTAGATTGGCCTGCGTCCAGATCGACCTGGGATCCGACGGTACCGATCCAGCCAGCGTAGGCGTCGATCACGCCACTGCCAATTGCAATACCAACCGGCAGGCCTAATTCGGCCGCAGCCTTATCGCAGAGAGTGCCAACCAACTCACCGGCACTCAAATAGTCACCATTCTGTGTGGCACCAGAAGTCAGTCAACTGCGTCATTGTCAATTAGGGAAAGGCTCACCACCCCGTCGACTCCGCCCATGCGCTTGAAGTTATTTTCGGTCAGGTCACCCAGACCTATGTCCTGTAAGAAATCTTCCTGCCATCCCTTGACGCTCCCATCGACACCAACCGGCACGTATCCTTGCTTGCAGACCACGCTGCAGAAACTTCGCTTTTCGTTGCCCGTAGCAATGTGCGTAAGGGCATCCCCCAGATCATAGAACTTGCATTTGTCAAAGAGCTCCTTGGGCATGTGGTTCTTGAGCCACAGAACCTTTGGGATCTCCATCTCAATGGACATCTTTCCGCCGACATAGCGGAGCAGGTTGTGGTTGGTAGCATTGATCTTCGCAGCTTCCTCAACTGGACGGTGATCCAGCCACAAGATCACGTTACGGTCCGAGTCGAAGTTCGGGCCCGTTACAGAGATCGGCTCGTCGGTATCATTGGAGAAAACCGACAAGGAGCAGGTGGCGTCAAACCCGATACCTCGAACCGTGTCAGGGTTGACATTGTGCTGGCTAATAGCCCGCTGAACGGCGACACAGATGCAATGCCAGATATCGGAGGTAGATTGTTCCTAGAGGCTAGGTAAGACTGGTTTGGGACCCAAATTGCTTGCAGTTTTAACCCACATAAAAACCGTGCTCTGGTTGCCAAAGACCAATATTTTCTGACGCCAATCCCACAATATCACCTTTGCCGTCGATGATACAGGCACGGGCACTGCCAGTTCCGACATCAATGCCAATGTAGTGGTCGAGATGAACTGCCAGATCCTCGCGAGGGTCACTGGATGATTTCCGGGAGCTCTGGTGGGAGACACGACTATAGGGCAGCGATGCCATGTTGCCGTGGTAGCTCTTTACTTTCAAATTGACTGCGGAGCTATAGATTGCTACTAACCATAGATTAGCGATTCACAAAAGACACAGAATATAGGCTGATCGAAGCAGACTTACTGTTATATTCTGTATATATATTGAGATTGTGAGGCAGATGTCGTGATTCGAGAGAATTGAAAGTGAACTGTGCGATGTAGAGAAGAATAAGGTATGACAACATTAATTTGCCCCAGTCCTGACGGAGCAGTGCTAGCCGGTACCTTCAAGGCACTTTCCGAGTACTTTGCGATACTTGGGATGTCCCGCCATTTTAATGCGGTAAGTGATATACTTTTCATGTACCAATAAGTGTAAAGTATGTACAGTGTATAACTGGATGTATACCTGTTTTTCCTTGAATATGTACATCATTATATATCGAATTAGACTGTTTATACTATATGTACATACATAGTAACTAGTTAGCAAGTATTTATACATACAGGTATGTACATATGTAGTAGGTTACTACATAGTACATATAATACAAACCCTGTAAGATATGTACATGTATGTAATCGTGGGGTTGGAGCTCGGACCGACTTTCTTCTCCAAAACGTTGACATCTCCCAGTTGTCTCCTTATAATTCTCATCTTCGCCATGCGGTTCCTACCCACCATTCTTAGCGCTGTTTCGCTCCTAATATCTGTCGCCAATGCCTCCCTCTCGACCGACATCCTGTATTGGCCCTTGGGATCGCCACAACCGTCCGTCCTCGCGCGTGTCTCCTACGACCCAGCCTCATTGAAATCGGACGTGGTCTCATATCACCCCCCAAAGGATGACCAGAGTGATAGTTTGGTGCGCGTCGGCCTCTACACATCAACACCCACAAACAAAAAGCAATGGGTTGGCAGTCTCGTGTCGTTGTCCTCTTTAGCGGCCAGTGAGCAACCAACATTTCGTCTTCACCTCAGTCCAGCCAACGAAATCTACACTGTCTCCCTGTCTGCATCATCCACCAGCGCTCAGGGCTCAACATCTAGTCCTCGAATTGAACTCGTCTCGAACGAATCCGGGACGCAGCCTCACCTGAACAGGCCAGTGGTTGTCGGGCCCGATGGTCAAAACCCAGAGCAACCTGAAGAAAAGTCTCTTTTCCAGAAGTAGGTTGCAGATAGGCGTGTATCGTTTCTTTTGTGTGCTAATTGTAATCTAGGTACTGGTGGGTTCTTCTTATTGTCACTTTCATCAGCATGTCGGGGGGTGGTGGCGGAGATGGACAGTGATCTTCGAATTTTCATCATATTACCTATATCGAAATAATACTTGGGTGGAACTATGCTTTGTGGTCCGCTACTCTCTTGAACATGCCAGCTTGCGAATTTCAACTAGAAGTCCATCCAAGTCATGGACATATCCGCCTACGAGTCTTCTTTACAAAGACCACTTTCGGCTGGAATAAACCAAGTCTAAAAATTGGTATATTCTTGTATACACAATCCGTAGTTGGCGTACCTGTAGGAATCTACCTAGGTACAAAGATACGTACATAGTTACGTAGTTATGTACTACATGTGTACATATGTAGTAACTAACTATACATAGCGACAAGGCGGAGAGCAACGACAAAACATCATATCTCAAGAAGTATGAACTTCATGTAAAACAATGGCAAACCCAAGGCTGAAACCGTTGGTGATATCTTAAAATATTCGACCTTGCTGTCTTCCCTGTCTTTCCCCCACTTAACCACTTTCTCTCTTTCTGCCTGGTCCATCACAAAAAACCACTGCTACCTAGACCCACGAGGCAACAAAAAGTCTGTGCACCGTGCTGGCCTTCTCGAAATTCTATAAATCTATGCTAAATCCCCCATATTACATCTGGCACAGATTGCCACGTCAAAGATGCTACTTCAACTTCCTACAGAGCTGATACAGCTAGTTCTTCGGAACTGCGACACACCAGCCTACTTCCAGGCTGCCTTTTCAAGCCGCAGGCTTTATGAGATTGCTTCCGGCAGCCGAGAAGTCATCCTTCATCAGCTACACAATACTCCTGGTTGGAACGACAGCATTGAAGCTCACCAGACTAGGCATCTGTTTGGTGAGTTAATGAGACGGTCGTATGAACAATTAGATGGCGCGGAACATTACGCCAGCCCCACCTATGAGTATCAAAATCGAGTGATTGACTATCATGCATCGACAATTGAGGCATCAGAAGGCAGCATTCGAGCACTGCTTGTCTTCAAAGGCCACAGCACTGTCCATCTGGTTGATATGAGCGATGGGGATCGGACTGAAGTCCGATTGAAATCTCCAGGACAGGATATCGGGGAGGTCGAGATCATCCAGACTGCCTTTGATGGAAACGGCGGAGTCTACGTGCTACATCGATTTAAACCATTCTTAGACCAAGAGCTGGATACAGAACACCCGTTTGTTAAACACGCCCTAGAGTCTCGCCCCAACGGGAGTATTCACCTGGCCTACCATCGCTTGAATCCCCGGGCAAACACCATTCGAATGTATGACTTCCCCGAATGCCAAGATTATAGGCCACTGGCTTTGTCCGTTTCCAACGGCAAATTTGCAATATCATGGCAAAACACGCTCGACCCCTTTGATCATGACGTCGTTCTTTATACCCAGCTCTACGACGATGACGAAGATGACGAAGACGAAGACTACGACGAGGATGAAGATGATTTGAGCGAAGGCGTTGTGGAAGAAGGCAAGGGAGACAATCCTTCTAAAATTATCCGTTCGTTTCGTCATCCTGTCATATTGCAACTGGTTTCTGACATATCTAGATGCCGCTTTTGAGGCTTATGTTTTGACAAGCTCCATCGATCAGGATCCATATGCCCGTTCTTCTCGGAGAATAGGCCCCGCAATGAGATTGGCTTTCAATGATCGAGGCCTTCAGTTGCTCTACCACTACCGGGCTCAAAACATCTACGGTGCCTTTCAGAGACTTGATCGCATCCTTCCCCCCCTGGGGAGCCAAAGCCGCATGTTAATAAGAATGCATGCACCGTGCAGTTTTCGCCTTCCCTTTCACTTCAATTCTCAATTGGAATACCATTCTTCGGTACCCATGAGCTCGGCGATATAAACAAGGGAGAACAGTGTCATTGGCAGTACCTCGCCTTCGGAATTGCCACCCATCGCGTTGAAAAATGGACTGTGGCATGCCTCCTGAAGTCTGAATCATATACTGGTCCGCGATGTACCCATGTTTTGAATCTCGACCGCGGAAGGCGTTTCGACAACTGGCAGATCATGGCGCAGCTTGGGGGATTCCGGGAAGTAACCACTTCGCATGGATCTCCGGTGGCAACTTCGCGTCGCGGAACTCGTGTTGCTGTTGCTAACTGGAAAACCCTCTATGTCTGGACACTGAACCCCTCGGAATTGATCGAAGACAATGGCACCGGCTTTTATCCATCATCGTGGGAATCCTCTACAGGTGCCATTGAGTTGCGACCAGTTGTCCTCCAGTTAGAGGCAGTTTGCTCTCAATTGAATTTCACTGAAAAGGAAGACGGGCTGGTTGCGATTACTGATCGTGGAGTGATGTTCCTGAATATCGGTTATAATGGAAAAGGAAAGCAGCCCGTCAAGAGCCAGGGGCATGACGGTAGTATATAACAAATCTGACGAGGATCTTGGAAGATCTGGAGCTTTACTAAACTCGTGTCGCTCAGAATGTGGTGAAAGTCATGAGGTTGCTGAATACCAAGACACATCTGTGGTTATGAGCCGGCTCTAAAGCAGTGGATTGTATTCTCGAATCTCATCAGACTAGGACGCTACCATTGTCTTATGCAAAACTAGGCAATAAGACCCGAGAAAATCAGCTGGGTCGATTTTTCCCAATCCCCAAAGCAACCCGAAACACCAGAAAATGCAGAACCACTAGCTGTATGACATTGTACATAGATCAAAAGAAAACCATGGCCCTGAAAATAATGCAAGGCCAGAAAGGGGTATCCCAGGGTCGTCATCATAGCAAGAGAAAAGAAAGAAAGAAAGAAAGAAAAAGCAACAAGAGCCTAGTGCAAGGACTTGTTCTAGTTTATCTCAGAAGCGAGCCATTCGAGCACGCTCTCATAACAGAGTGCATATTGGCTCAGGTTCTGTACCATGCTCGGTCTTTGTCTCCGGAAATCCTCGACCGTCTTTGCAATTAGGTCAAGATTGAAATCCCCCATCCACTCGGAAGATCCGATGGGGTTTTGATCCAGGCCCCCACCACCGGCAGCCTGCGCACGTTGCCGTTTCAACATGTCCAAGACACTATCAACAGTGCAGAAGGTCCCCGTACGCCCACAGCCCGCACTGCAATGCACCAGTACTGGCCGCTGACCCTTCGGTTCTGCTTGCTGGCTACTAAAGCTGGAGTTGCTGGTAGCACGAATGACCTTGTTACATTGCTCAATTAGATGGAGAAGATGAGTAGGCTGTGACGTTGTCCCGAAATCGGGCCAGTAAGGATATTGGAGTTGGGTGATATCCCGAAGCGGCTCGAAGGGGAATGACGTATGGCAGATACTGAAGTTTCGCACGGTGATGACTGGATTTTCGTTTGTGCCATCAGGTCGTTCGGCCGATGCCTTAGGGCTGCCAACCGTGGGATCGATAGGTCCGCCCTTGGATTCGATATAGATGTGCTTTTCCGAATAGGCCTTTACTTCGAATGGTCCATATTTTCCAGACTCCCAGTATCGGTGGCATTTTACCTGCCCTCGCTCAACCTCTGCAGTAAGAGAAACGAGAAGTCTAACGTCTTGCTCCCACACCACGCGCCAAAAGTCCTGCATATTGTGAGTTACATTATAACAAGCATTGCGAGGGGCTGACACTCACATCAAATGTATCAGGAACGGGAGCCTGAGTGGCGATGTATTTCCGATTGGTAAGTTCAGCGGAAATATGATTTGCATTCACATAATCACAGGCTCCAGATGGAATTCCCTCGAGTCGGACACGGGAATGATCGAATGGGTAAATATCATTGTAGCGATTCTTCGTGCCTTTTTCTATCCCTGCAACGCGATATTTCTTAGGGCTACCATTGGTGTCACCCGAAGGTCCTTCATATGTTAAAGCCTGTTTCATGCGTTCCAATTCTGTTTTCTCCAAAACCAGGAACTTGTTCGAGACAATGTGCCCTTGGTCCTTGAGATCGGAAGCGCCTCGCAACCAGGAAGGGAGTTGCTGTCGCTTCGCCTCGGTCAATTGATCGGGCTGTTTCAGAGGAATTTGTCCGACACCTCCGAGCAGATCCATGTTCTGTCGAATATTTCCAAAGAATGGGTTGACGGCAGAGGATGATTCTGGTAGAGCGCAACCACCCACGACAGGAGCAACAGATTGCAAATTGATTCTCATGGGAGAGGGACGTTTAGAGGATGGTCCGGTCGTCTGCGTTTGTGGCTGCTGAATCAAACGTGGAAACCGACCCGAGAAACCTCGAACCCCGTTTTGTAAGATCAACCCTTCTCCCTTCCAGTCTTCAGCCTGGAATTTATTGAGAAGGTTCAGAAGAGGTGCTGCGTCCTTCAAATCCGCTGCGGCAGAATCGTAGACAATGATCACGTCACACTTTCTCCAACGAGCGAAATTCTGTTTGTCGGCGTCGTCTGTGAAAGTGCCCTCTAATTTCTGGGTATCGAATGATCGACGCTTAAGTAGGGTAGTGGGGATGCATAGATTGAGTGATCCTTTGATATTGGCCTGTCTGAAATGGGCAAATGGGCGAACATCAAATAGCATGATGTTTGATTGAGATGATTCAAGAAGTTCAGCGCAGCGTTCAGCTGATACCCAGGGAAATGAAGCGGGAGTGGCACCTGAAGAAGCAGTGTTAGTATCTTATATAATTCGTGCAAGATAGATAGTGGAACACATCAGGAGTTATAAGGATCAAAGACAAAAAGAAAAGAAAACAAATCCAAGTGTGGGCATACCTTGTGGAGTGAGCGCTAAGTTCTTGCCGGCTGGAAGCCTCAGTTCACTGGGTTGCGCAAATGAAAAATTTCCCAGCGGATGTGAAGGTGAGGGCTCCGACCATGAAGCCGTCTGGGGAGAGGAAAAATCCATGCAATGCTGATTCTCGGCGTATGCGGCTGGTTTCGGGCTCGGTCTTCAAGAGATTCTTCAATCCCGCTGATACTGATTCTTGGGAAAACACTGGTAATTTTGGACTCGGAAGAGGTTGCGTATGGGGTAATGTGCCCCAGTTCTTTTGCATGGACAGCCCTGGATTGGAAGTCTGTTGATTGTTGGGGTTTTGCACAGCCATGCCAAAATAATTGGGACTTGATCTTTCTGTAAAAGCCGCGCTCGACATCATGCCCGTAGTTGATGGGGACAGGGTAGACTGGAAGGACTGCGTGACACCACCATCATGATGACCTCCTTGAGCACTTTGTACCCAAGGTGAGGAAGGTGAGCGTCCTGGGCCTGTCATGGCAGGCAGGTTAGCTTCCACAACCCCAGTTCCTGGTCTGTCGAAACACGGTCAGCTCAAAGGTCCCCAATGACAACCCGCAGTTGTGTACCAGATAATTACAAGCCGATTCTCAAGGATCAGACTCACAAGTGCTCCCAAGCTCTTGGACCAAGATATCAGGGTCTTCGAAGACACAGGACGGTGGCAGAATCGCTGGTCATAAATGGCATCCAATACACAAAGTTGAAACCAATGTTGTCTCTCAAATAAGAGTGTTGAAGAGATTAAGCAAAACTTCAGATGGAAGGACCTCGAGATATACCTGACGTAGCGAGAGACAAAGAGGGGCAACAAGAAGCGAATAGACCAGGGTCCAGCCAAAGGGAAAAACTGGCCAATGGAACGAAAAATGCCAAATAGTGGGGGATGAACAGGTCTGATATCAGAGAGAGGGCATCTGTGTTATTGCATGATTAATAATCGCCAGAGAGAAATTTGGTGAAGAAATTTGGGGGCTTCGAGAAGAAAGTTATGACGTTGTTGTGTGGGGGATCACGGGTTCACCTTCAGTTCTGACGTAGTTGGTGGATTTGGTATATATTTTATTTTACTATATAATACATATATAGTATATACCAAGAAATAATAAAAACAATAGAGATATGTTACATGGATATACAAGGATATGGATATACAAGGATACATAAGAAAGTATTTGTCAATCACAGAGAAACCAACTAAAAAGCCCGGTAGTCCCCAGGGCTCCCCCGGGAGGGCTCTCGAGGTCTATATATGGCTGAGTAAGCGTTGGACGAGGCCCTGGGGACTACCTACCTAGGTACCCCTTCCATTATGGATCAATATAGATCAATATATACATCGATGTACTCGGAATTGAATTATGTTGCACTGGTCTTTAGCTTCATCAATATTAACAATGACCTCATCCCAGTTCCCGGTTAGTCGCCAGTCTCCAAGGGCCCAACCGTAGAGTGGTTCCACTCATGCAGGTTTCACGTCAATATGACAAGTGAAAAGATGAGGCGACAAGACTCGAGAGGGATAGAAATATATCTTTCCCCAATTTCACAGCCAATGGCCCAGCATATAGGATCTGGGAAGCGGAAGTATACATTGTAATGTTGTATCCAACTTTCGAGCGGCTGAGAAAGCGAGTGAGACCAATTCCAATGGCTACCTAAGTAGGGATATTGGTGCATAGCATACGTTGTATGCAAAGGCCAGCCAGATAATTGAGTGGCTGCACCCCCTGATCTCCTCCTTCATCTCCACACAGCAATGTACGGTAATGTACCCTTAGCAATGAGCTCATATGCTAGGTGAGGTCATGAGGAGAACGTGTTTTCGTCGCGTTCGAGGATGCCAGAACAACTCGGATATTTGAATTCAAAGTGTTATAGCCTTCCATCCGGTTCACCTTTGAATCGCTCTACTCGCTTCTGCTCCCATTGGTCGAGGTCTTTGGCCATGAGTCTCTGGAAGCGTGCACAATAATCAGCATTCAGTTCAAACGTCAGCAAGAAAATCAGGATCCGTTAAACAATACATACGTAGTATTCTTCCTTCTCGTCGCCTATAATCCTTCTCCGCGGGTTGCGTTTGATTCCCTCTTCCCCGTCAGGACCCTTGAGTCCGAGGTCAAATGCTTCGTCTTGACTGAGCTGCTTGACTTTGCGGTCATACCGCTCATATCGCAAGGCAGCAGCAGGTGTCAAGGCAAACGACCCAGCTACAATAACGGCCATAAATGGGAGTCCGAAGAGAATGAAAGGGTGTCGAGCCAGTCGCGCCCGGTAGAAGGCACCAAGCCGTTCACCGAGGGACGATGATTCCGTAGCTGCCCGACGAAAGGTCTTGGATTGGAACACAGGCATATTTGCGAATCAGCCTATTGAGCGCTATTATTGAGCGAAGGACTGAATAAGATGTTCATTGGGTTTAATGAGTTTGGGTCATTGAGAAATAAAGGAACAATAGGATGTTCAATCGGGTCAATAGATGATCCGGAATACCGGGTTGAATTGTTTAGAGCTTCCTAAACCGCCTTCTCATTGCCCATTGACATTTATTGACTCTTAATTGCTGGGCTATTTCGTATCGATATAAAAGCAGAGCTCTGCTAAAGCTCCGTTCTTTGCTATCCGAAGCCCGAGAAAATCCACTACTTATCGTGGTCATTCTTTACCATTACAGAGCTCTAGGTGTGCACAATCCAGTTTTCTTACCCTTTGATCAGCATCTTTTTGCTTAGTTGCCAGCTCAAAGTGAACTAATTCGAGGAATAGTTTTGCTGCAATCGTACCTGGCGTCTCTTTTTCTTAATCCTTTCGAATTTACCAGCCCTCCATGGCTTCCAACACCGGCTCTCTCTTCGGAGGGGGTGGTCTTGGAGCATCGACAACCCCACAGTCGAACAGCCTCTTTGGCGCAAACAATTCGACGGCGAGTCCTTTCGCAAATTTTTCTGCTACAGGTGCACAGGCTGCGCAAGGCGCGCAAACATCGTCTCTGTTCGGAGGTCAATCTCAGGCCCAGCAACAGCCTGCTCAAGCCCCGACCCTGGGCCAGACCCAACAGGCTAGCAACCCGCAGACCCAGGGACAACCTGCAAGTCAGTCAACACAACCTGCATTTTTCAACAGCCTATTAGAGCGTGGGAAAAAGCGACCATTGTCATCGGTTATTCAAAACAACAACTTTGAAGACGTGCCTAGTCTCCAGTTAGGCCTGGATGACATTCGAAGGAAGGCGCGAGAGCTAGGCTCCGCGGGACAAAAGGATACCCAAAACGGCAAGAACAGCAAAGCGTGAGTTTCATCTCCACCATCTGGTCACACGTGTTTTGTTGTTGACCTTGGTTAACCTTGCGATATCATCAATAGTCATTATCTTCTTGCAGCTTCCGGCATATCCCCGGGACAAGCATTACGCGACCTCAAGTCCATGGACCCCCAGGCATCTCTAGCAGCCCCAGCGAGGGAACTGGACCACTTTGACCCAGACAACCAAAGATTTTTGCGGAATATCCAACAACGTGGCCGACAAGTCATGATCGCGGAGGGTCTCACCAGAGCTCAGCGGGACTTCGATGCTTTTCTAGAGGAGAAGGTGGACATGGACTGGGAAGAGCAACGTCAAAAAATATTCCACCACTTCGGGCTGTCCCAGAAGGATGCCACCGGCGCTGGAGGATTTAAATCTACCACCAGGGGTGCCTTTGGACGGTCAGCAAGACAGTCTAAGCAAACCGGAGCTGCTCCAGCCAACGGACCCTCAACCACATCCCGCAGAAGCGTATTCGGGCGTTCCGGTCTCGAGAAGTCCGTGATCGGCACACCTGGGGCCGGCTTGGCAAGCCGTCAAATATTTGAAGACCCAGCAGAGCGAAATGAAGGAACTGCGGCTCACTCGCCTGATCTCAGGTTCCAACGGGAGAAGATGGGCCACTACGCCGAGAAAGTTCAACAGTTGAACCTCGCTAGGCTTCAAGGAAAATGCTATCCCGTACTCGACGAGTTTTCATATGTTGAAGTGCAAGCCGGTGGTGATGTAAATATCAAAACCTCCCGCAACATGGATGTTCGTTCAGCTAATCATTTTTTCAGGTACCTCGGCAACTCTTCAATGCATATCAAGCCTTAATAAGAATTGTCCACGAGAAGCCAAACATCATGAACCCATCGGAGCCCGGAGCAGTGAAGGAGCGACAGTATGCTGAAGATTACCTTGAAGAATCGTCCAAATCTCTCAAAGCAATCGAACTCAAGAAGCAGATCCTTGAAGGCTCCAGGGGTTTCCTTGAGAGCACATTCTTTGACGAAGTGGAAACCGCTATTGCCAAAAACCCCCGGGAAGCACAATTGGGAGGAATTCCAACTGTGATCAACAAGATTCGCGCCTACATCCGTCTTCAAGCCGCGAGGAAGGATCTGGCACCTGATGGAACCGAGCTCCAAATGGTGAACCAAGACTACTGCTGGATTCTCATCTTCTACCTGCTTCGATGTGGTTTCGTGACAGAGGCAGCTGAATACGTGAGTCGGGATAGCGGGTTCCGGTCTTTAGATCACAAATTTGTGACCTACATGACAACCTACGCGCAGAGCAGGAGACTGCCCCGGGACTTGCAGCAAAAGATCAATGGCGAGTTTCAGCAACGCTCACGGAACGCACCTGAAAATACAGTCGATCCTTACCGAATGGCATGCTACAAGATCATTGGCCGTTGTGATCTCTCGCGTCGTCGCTTGGATGGTGTGAAGCAGACCGTCGAGGACTGGATGTGGCTACAATTTAGTCTTGCAAGAGAGGATGATCGTGCCGAAGAGGTTGCAGGTGACGTCTTCGGCCTGGAGGATATTCAGACCGACATCCAAGAGATTGGCCAAAGAGTCTTCATCAAGGGCAACGAGGGGCCTGGTGGCTATGGAACTTACTTCCTGCTGCAGATATTGGGAGGAATGTTTGAGCAGGCTGTGCATTATCTCGGCACCTATGCCCCAGTCACTGCTGTTCATTTCGCCATCGCCCTGTCTTATTATGGCCTTTTGCGCGTGTCCGACTTTTACACTTCTGGTGAAGAAATTCGTAAGCTTATCTTCTGCCATGATATTCTGATCTTGCTAAC